AGCAGAAATTTGATAATTACTTAACTAATATAATAATTAATATATATATATACTCCATTCAATAAAATTAATGCTTTATTTCCTGTTCTCTTATTTGTATAAACAAAATCTAATAATATATCCTCATAATAAACATCTTTTTCTAAATCCTTCTCATATTTCTTAAAAAAATAAAATTTCTCTTTCATATATAATTTAGTATGTAACATTAATGGATGTCCATATGATTCTTATTTACAAAAAATATTTTTATTTTCTTAAATCTATTTTATATCAATTTTATTTGGTAATATTGTTTTACCAACTAAATTAATATATTAATTAATTTATGAAATCATCTTTTATATCATTCTGTCAATCTTTATAGATGTTTACAATCTTGTTAATTCATTTACTTTAAATATTAAATAATTTATGTCTTCAAAACATTTACTATTTTATAAGATACTTGTCCAAATTAATTTTATTAAACTTTCTAATAATAATGTATAATATGGATAATATCCTATTATTTGATTTCCATCTTTTTATTAATTTTTTTCAAAGAAACCTGTTATTGAATGAGATTGTAATAATTATACTTTATATTTTAATATTTGAGTAATATCAAGTATTGCTTATCCCATTTAAGTTGCTTTGTAATATAACTCAATTTTATTATCAATTTAAATATTTTAATTCAATTCTGGTTTTTAAAAAAGTGAAATTATTATAGCATTTAATTTAGCAGGATCTGCAAAGTTTTTATTTGCTATTGAAAGTAATTGACTAAGTTGGATAAAATCAAATATACTAAGATCCTCAGTTATATGATTAAATATTTCAGAAAATACCATTGCATCTTATACAATTATTGGTTTTGGATAATTTCTACGTGCTTTCATAAATAAGATATTTTATTTAAAATGTAACAATATGAAAATAATCCCATTTATAATTTAATAGTCAGGATGAATTCTATTTTTTAATCTTATAATATTCCACAAAAGATAACAATATGCCTAATTATCACCTATTTCAATTGCTAACATTGCTTATAATATTTTAATATTTTCTAATAAACTCAAAGTACTAACTCTTTCTTTTACATTATCTACTAATTCTTTTAGAAATGTAGGTAATATTGGTAATTTTTATTATTAATAATAAATAAATACGAAATCTGCAAAATCTTAATTATTTAAATCATAAAAATTTATTTATTGCATTTTCTATATTAAAACTTATTCTAATATCTTTTATAAAGATTATCCTTATTAAAATTTACCATCATATAATTCCATAAATTGAGGTTCTTAATCTTTTTCAAATTTTTTATCAACTATAATATATATAAATAATAATAATACTTATATCTTTAATAATTAATGAAAGATATTAAATGGTTTAAATTGGATATTAATTATCTTCCCATAATCTTTAAAGTGCATAATAATCTAATGAATAAAGTTGAGTTTAGAAAGATTTCTTGATTTATTTTCTTACATGAAGCCATTCTACTACTTCACAATTAGATACAAAGTCTTCAATAATTTAATTAAAAACTGGATTCTCTAAAATTTAAGTAGGAGTAAGGAATATTATATTTGGCATTTCATATTCTTTATTATATTAAGCTTTGTATTAACCAGCTAATTTTTTGTAATAATTCAATTTGTTTTATTATATTTACTCTTGAAATTTTAAACAATAAGACAATTAATTGAACCATTCTAAATATTATTCTCTAGATTTTAAGGGTTTAGCTTCATAAAAATCTAATAATTCTTATGCTGTTTAAAATCTTCTAAAATTAATCTCTTCATCCAAATTTTCAATTACATTTTCCAATTTATTCTCTTCCTCTTTCTCAAGCATCTATTATAAATTATTCTTTTTATTAAAATATAATGATTCAACTATTTGTTATGCTTCCTTTCTTTAACTAATAAGAGGATCATCAATGTAATAACGATTCTTTCTCATTTGTTTCAAAAGGTTTTGAGATTTTTAAATGGCTCTTGAGAAATTGAATATAAGTTTTAACATAATTAATTATACACAATTAAATTAATTAATTTTTATAATTAATCTTCTATTTATTAAAAGACTTATACTTTATATCATGTAATATAAAAATAAGGATTTCAGAGTAATTTTTTAATTGATATTTCAATTAGATTTTAATTTATTATTGTCTTATATATATAATAATAAATGAAATATATTTGAATTTATGCAAATATTAAGTAAAATTTGAACAATTAAATTTATAATGAGTTTAGAGATTCTCGATTATCTCAAACAAGAGAATTAATAATTGTAAGAGCAAGTTCGTGAGCTCTAAGGATTGCTATAATTGAATAAGTAAGCTTTAAAGGTTATGATGCCATAAACAAGTGATGAATAACATAAAGGACTATTAACAGTATTGAAGAATTTGTAAGAAGAGAATGAAACTTTATAAATGAAAATAGAGAAATTAGTTAAAGAGCGTAATGAAGCTTAATGTGATTAATTGATCAATCAACAAATTACAGAATAAGTATAAAGATAAGAGAAAGAATTAATTGCATCATTATAATAAAAAATGTAAGGAATGTAAGAAAATTTGATGTCTGCTGAAATTAAATTATCAAAGATGGAAGAATTAAAACCAGAATATGATGAAATTGCTGGAGTGGTAATAAAATTTAGAGAAGTTTGTGATCCTGATCTTATTGGATTAAAAATGCATAATGAAATACAAATGTTAAATGAATAATTATTAATAGAACAGAAACAAAAATAAAAATTAATAAAAGAGAAATCAAACATATAAGGATTAAATTTAGTAATATTATTATATTTTATTTGATTAGAGATTAATGAATGAATTATTATAATAAAAAAGTTTAGCACATGCTGGTAATAAACTAATATTCATGAATTAAGATCCAGATCAATTAGTTGATTTTTAAGCAAGGGCACTTAAATTAATTAATAATTCTTCATCTTCTGAATCAGTTTCCTCTAAATCTTCAGAGGCTCCTTTAGATTCAAGTGATTCACCTAAAAGATAATAATTTTAAATGAATTCAACAAAGGGAACAGTAATACCTAAACTTGATTTAACAAGAGCCAAATAAATATAAGAAATTAATGCAAAAAGATAAATTTAACAAACTTAAAAACCATTAAATGATATATAAAGTATGGAAAGAATTTAAAAACTTGAAAAAGCATTGGATGAATTGAGAAAGAATCATTAAAGAGAAATGATATTAAATAAAACTTTATAAGCTCATAATGATGAATTATAGAGATGTTGTGATGAGATGGAAGTAATTTTAAATAATAAATTAAGCATAGAATAAAATTATTAATAAATTCAAATCTTCATTATTAAGAGAAAGCTAAAAAGATGAATGTAAATTATAGATTCTTACATTAATTTTATTTAAATCATAAAGATTTATTACCTACAACATCTTTAAGTAGTAGTCATTAAAGATAAACATCTGCAAATTAAATTGAAGATGAATAATCTTAATCTAAATAATTTGATATTGATGAAATGGAAAGTCCAATTTTAAAATAAAATAATGAACCTTTAATATAATAATAATAATAATTAACATCTAATGTTTATTATTATATACCAAATAATAAAGAATAATCAATTAAATATTTATTGTAAACAGCATAATAGATATATTCAACAATTTATGAAAGAGTAGATCGTGTAATATAAGAAGAACCATAATGTAAACATAGATTTCGATCATTTAGCGAGATCATATTAAATTGATCATTACTGAGTACAATTATTTATTATTATGTATTTATTTCATTATCTTTTTATTCCACTTCCATGTAAAGCACTTATACATTCAGCTACAGTATCTAAATTACTATGATATTCAGAAATTAAAATATTATGGCTATTTGTTGCTAAACCTTTCTCTTAAATTGATTATTTCAAACTTTCTCTTGCAGAATCTAAATTAGCTTAAGCTTCATTAGCTAATTATCTTCTTGAATCAATTTCACCTTTAAATAGACTATATTCTTACTATCCTTTCCTTATATATCTTATTGTAATTATGGTATAACATCTTTGACTAATTAATCTATTTTAGCATTTAATAATTCAAACAAATCTTATGCTTATTATTATGCTGCAGTAAAACCTGCTTATAATGTTTGAATATTTTAATTAAATTAATCTCTAATATTTTGTAATAAATTAATGACTCTAATATAATATTATAATAATTAATACTTTTATAAATTTTATGCACTTTTATAATCTTCTGTATTTAATTATAGTAATAATGAATGTAATTCTGGTGTTCCTGATACTAAAGAAGATAATTATTAAGCATCTTCTTCAACAAATGATGAATCTATTATTATTAATAAATAATTTACATTTTGCTTTATCTAATACTTTTAATGCTTCATCAATCACAACAATTGCAGCACTTAATTAATTGGTTCTTGTTTTGAAATCATCTGAATCTTATCTTTATTAATTCTCAATATTAGCTTTTTATTGTTTAGTTGCTCCTAATTCTGTTCTTGTCCTTTCAAGATCTTCTTCTAAAGAAATTCTTGACTTTAATATTTCTCTTATTTGAATATTATATTCAGCTAACTCACTTTCATATTGAGCAATAAGTGATTTATAATTTGTTTCTTCTGTTTCTACTTATTAGACAAATGCTCCATATGATGAATTTTCATCTGCTATTGTTTACTTAAATTAATTGATATATTACTTCAATAAGTGAAGCCCATGCTTCTAATGCATCAAATAATGGATTGAAATTAGGTGAACCCAATTCAACCATTGCAAGAACTGCTCTACCCATACTTGTGGCTTTTAAATTGTTTGTTAAAGCTTCTTATAATATTGTTGCTTATTCATTCACTTATACTCCAAATGTCAATCCTAAGAGAACAATCAAGATAAATATTTTCATTATTATTAATAACATAATCCGTTTTTATATGCATAAAATATATTATTTTAGTTATCATTTCTTTCTATAAATTGTAATCTCTTATTATTTAAAATATCTTCTATCTTCATCATCTACTAATATTAAATTCAAAATGTATTTCACACTAAACTTGCCACTCACATTTTTTAAAGTTGGTGACATATTAATACCACTCAAAAATAATCGTATAGGTACAACTTCTCCTTTTTAAGGACATCCATCCATTAATTCATATTTCACCAATGTTTCATTATCAGTTTACTAATTATTACCTTATCCAATCTATTCTTTACGAATCACAGCCAACTCCATATATTTTATATTTATTTTAACTAAATAGAAGTTAACCTTTCCTGTTACAACATCTCTTAAATGATACCTTGATTTAAAATATTCAAAATCTAAGTGTAAACAATCTTCAATTCCTACTTCAAGTTTTAAAGAAGTTTAAGGTTGATTTTCTTATTCTTTATCTACAATTTATACTGCAAATTCTATTTCTTTTTTCACTTATCCATAATTTCTATTCATAGTAACACGTAAATAATATCTACATATAATTAATATTTCAACTTACCTTAATTTTACTTCTTTACCATAATAACTTTCATATTATTTCTCAAATTTATTAAATGTAAATTTGTATGTTTTATCTTCCATTAATATACCTTATGCATCTAATTCTCTTCCCATTGACATAAAATCTGATGATTATTTTTAATCATTAAGTATTTCTACATTATTTTAATCAAATATTACCAATTCTTCCAATCAATTCAATTCGAATACCTAAATGATCAATCTTTTTATTCTTATTCATTCTTAAATCTACTACACCTGATATATCATCATCATCCTCAATAATTAAATTTATATTTTACTGAATATACAGGTAATCGTATTAAACCTTATTATTTGTCATTAAATCTTGCAGTTTTCCTTGTATCTAATCCATCTAAATAAATGTCTATTATTGGAGCTCCTTAAACCAAATTTAGTAATACAGCCTCTCTATATAAGACTATTCATACCATAAATTCTATAATTAATTATATATATTAAGAGTATTTTAAGTATTCATTAATAAGATAAAATCTTCAAAATTTCTAGATGTCTTAATTTTAAAGCCAGTTATCTAGGTGTTTGTCCCCATAAATCTTTTAATGATTCATCTGCCTAATATTTTAGTAATAATTCAACAATCTCTTTAAGATTTCTTTTACATGCCAAATGCAAAGGTGTTTCTTATATCTTTAATTTTTATATTTATCAATACTCTATTTCTAATATTTATTAAGTTTTTATTCTCCATAAGTAATTTATTTACTGTAAAACTATCATTATTTATAATGGCATCAAAAAGTTGATTCTCTTATTCATTTGGTCTTTTAATTAACTTTGTAAAATTAATTATTCAATTTACTTTGATATTTAATTTATGCAATTATGAACTAATCAATTTGATTTTATCAGGATTACTATAGTATTAATCAAATACTTATTCTGATGTAAATCTTGGTTGAGGAATTGGATCATTTTTAAGCAATACTTTGTATTTATTCTAGTTTTCAATTGTTGAATATTTTTATATAGGTAGATTCAAGTCCTCTTGTCTTCTATCTCAATAATAAATTAAGATTACACTCCAGTTGGTGTTAATAATTCTTCTGAATAATATTTACTATATAAATTGCATCTTTCTTCAAATTCTCTAACTCCTTTCATAGTCATTTTCTCTATGTCTTCTAAATCTTTTTTTAAGAGATTTTTTGATTTTGTCAATAACTCTTATTTTCTTTTGGATTACTACTCTTATGCTTCTTTTTAATATCTTTCTAATTTTATTTAAAAATAGCTCTTTTTTTTCTTTTTGATTTATTAGTTGTTATCAACACTTTTCTATTTTTTCCCATTTTCCTCTTAGATTGTCTATGTGATCAATTTTTAAGATCTTTGAGTAAAAGGTACTTAATGAAGTGATGTTACATGAAATGAAGCTGGATGATTATTTCTTTCATTCTTGAGATATGAAAAAATTTGATAGTCATCCATCAATTCTAACCATTTGACAACAAAGAAATACTTTTTTATTCTGGTGATATGCGTTCAGAAACTGCTTTCTTTCGTTTAAAAACAGGATCTCTCTTAACAACAAAAAGCATAATTATATAATTATAAAACATCAACGAATTGAAGCATATTAAGTAAGTTCAGGGGTTTTAAAATCTGGAAAACTTAAACCTTGATTTTGTTTCCTAAAATAATAACTATTAAATTTATTACTCTCTTGGTCCAAATATTTTAACTTATCTAATATGTGTATCTTTTCCACTATGTTAATTTTATAAAACTACAATTTAAACATTTATTGTAGAAACATATGGTCTAATTTAATCAATGCTATTACTTCTCTTAACCATTTAACAATTTAGTCTTTAGTGCAAATAAATACCATCCATAAGGTTCTTTCAATTCAATAAATTAAACTTCCTTATTCTTATTATCTAAAATACCTTCATATCCTGTATATTAGTTCCAGTTCTAATGGATAGTTTATTTGGAGTATAACTTTCATCTTATTTGAAATCTAAATATAAGGCTATTTCCTAAACTCTCATTTTCTTAAGAAATTATATTGTTAAATAGTGTGGTTATGTTCCATCAGATTACCAAAAGGTATTCAAATTATCATCCCTTAACTGATCTACTCCATTACCACTTTTTGCAGATGAGAGTGTCCATATAGCTTAATCTCCAATTTCTTTTCTTTACATATTGGCTGTAGGTGCCATATAAGGTTGAGTATATGGAGTCTATATTGAAGAGTAAATAGGATTTTCAATATGCATGTTAATTTCAAATAATAATAGGAACTAAAATTAATGTAAATTATCAAATTAAAGAAGAATTATATAAATAATTGTTTCTTAGAATATGAATCTATTATTTATTATACAGAATATGATTATAAAATCATTATAAAACTAATTAAGGTAAATTAAATAGTATGTTAAAACACTTTTATTATTCAATTATGGATTATAAAATAATCTATGATTTTAAGTTTATATTTCTAAAAATTATATATTGTCTTAATAAAAAGATAAGATTATATATTATATAAATATATATATATAGTTTAATCAAAGTGATGTTCAAAATTTTGTATGAGGTATGTTATAACTAATTAAAAGTCTATTTTATATTTCTATTCTTGTTTTTAATTTTAAGATTTCTTGATTCAATTCCTTTTCTCTTTTAATAAATTATTATTCTCTTTATTTGTAATGCTAAATCAATGTTTTTGTTTTTAAAAATAACGCATCAAACTTGTTTTTAAAATCATTTGATATGGGAACTGTTTAGTCTAAACTTTGCTTATGTTTCTGTTTCTTTGGTGATTTGATGTTTACTTTTATTTAGGAATTTTAATTCAATGTTGAACTTACATTTATTGTAGTTTTTGGACTTGTACTCTATGATTTTGTATTAGATAAGCATAAAGTAGATGATTGTATTGAAAGTCTCTTTGTACTACTTGAATAATTCTCAAATAAACGAGAATCTGTTTTACATCTACTATCATTAATACTTATCCTTTAATGATGCCGCTAACCTTTTTCATAAATTCTTTGACCTCTAAAATAATCATTGAAGCTGTTTAAATTATTATATTTAGTTATTGAAGGTTAACTCAAATTTGCTTTATGCTTTGCATTCTTTAATTTAGGTGAAATAACCTTAATACTAATCATTTATTTAATACTATAAAATTAAATTAAAATGCTTTTAATGAATATATTCATATGATTGAAAAATAGAATAAATATATTTATTTTATTCTTTAATTATTAATCCCATTTAACTATTATTATCGAGTTTATAATTGATCTTATATAAAATCTTTGAAGATCTGTAGAAAATTACAAAACCTTAACTACATATAAATATTAAATAATTGCTTAATAAAGATCCCATTTATAATCATATTCTTTCATTCCAATTATTTCAATATGGATATCCAAGTTTTAGAATTTAGCAGATTGTTATTTTGTTTATTAATCAAAACTAAATTGAAAGTTAATAATCTTAAAACTTTACTTTTTTAATAAATCTCTTAATTAGTCTAAAAAATATATTATATTTTTAGGTTTCAGATCACAATGAAAAATTTCTATATTTTGTTTTAGAATTATTAAAAAAATTAAAGGATCTCATCTATTTGTATTTTCATTATCTTCTAAGTCTTAAGTATAATATTTATTTAAAAAGTAATTAATCATTTTTCTCAATCAATTTTATTTGTGTATAACTACTTGATTATTATCAAAATCTATAATTATAAGTAAATTTTCATTTTTGATTTTAAATTACTATTTAAGTGTCTATAGATTATCATATTATTCCAAGTTAGCTATTTTTTCAACTCTAAAACTAGAATTCTTCATATTTAAGCATTAAATAGAAATTTATTAAAATTTATCATGTTATAAAATAAATTATTTACCAATATGTATTCCATTCCAATGTTTTATATAATGTATAATTTTTGATTACATTAATGAGGGTAATATTTGTAAATTAATGATGCAAATGTTATTCATATATTTCTTTATTATAAAAATTAAATGCAAGAAACTAACGATCAAATGCTGATTATCAAAGTTGCAAATTCAAAGCCTATTTAAATCAAATAATTTGATACTCCTTTATAAATTGCTCATAGGTTTTGCAATGATAATAATATTGAATTGAGAAAGTGTAAGACAATTAGCAACTAGATAATTAGAATATGTAAGATAAACATCTTATAACAGTTAGAGCTTATATTGATGAATTTAAATAATTGTAATAATTCTCTAAATACTTCAGTAATTAAGAACCTTTTAAGAAAAAGGCTTAGTATTCTTTAGAAGAAATAATGAATTAAGCAGAAAAAGAAAACTCTTATTATTCATTTTAATAAGAAACTTAACTTGAAGAGAAATAAGTTAATTCTATACCATCTATTGATATTTATAAAAGTCCCAAAGATGGAATTCAACATTTAAGTACAGGCGCGCATATAGACTCAAAAAAGTTGGAAGATATGAGTAGAAAATTGTATTAAAACATCTTATCTCCAACACCTGATTCTGGTTATATGATCAGTTATAGTTAAACAACTAAAAACATTTCGAAATTACAAAGATAATTATAACTTAATAAACTTTAACCTACTAGACCTTTATAAAAGAGTCAAGAAAGACTTAAAAGTAAATCACCTCATAATTCTACTCAAAAGAGTCCATTATTAAATAAATCTGGATATTTTGATAATGGAAACAAGGTCTAAAGTAGTTTAGTGTTGTAATAGATCAAATAGTAGGCATTAAGTACAAAAAATTAATAGATGGGTCCATTGAGATAGTTATCAAATTCAAGAGCATCAAGTATAGGAAGAACAAGATGCAAAACTGAAATGTTTGGTGATGATAAATTATAAAGAATTAGTAATAAGTTATTCAATTTATTGGATAATGATAAAGATGGTTATATATCACCTTCTTAGATTGATTTAAGTAAAATATCAGATGACATATTAAAGTAATGAATTGATAAAATTGTTAGTTATTTAATTGGAATCTTGTTAGAAATTGATCATAATAAATTAAGATTGAATATCTACTAGTTTTATAAATTATTTGAATAACATTATGAAAAGTTGGATATGTTATAGAAATAAAGATTTTTGAGTATAAGCTGATTATTACGCAAATTTAATAAATAATATGTCAGACAATTCAGATAATGTGTTGACCCAATCTACAGGTTGTCCAGTAGATGATAATCAAAACTCTTTGACTGCAGGAGAATATGGTCCTATTCTTTTGTAGGATACTCATCTTATTGATAAATTAGCTCATTTTGATAGAGAGAGAATTCCAGAAAGAGTTGTCCATGCTAAAGGAGCAGGTATTTTAAATCTTTGACATGTAAAGGTGCTTATGGATACTTTGAAGTGACAGGAGATGTGACAAAGTATACAAAAGCCAAGTTTTTGGATACAGTTGGCAAAAGAACACCAATATTCACAAGATTCTCTACTGTTGGAGGTGAAAAGGGATCAGCAGATTCTGAAAGAGATCCAAGAGGATTTGCTGTTAAATTTTACACTGAAGAAGGCAATTATGATATGACAGGAAACAATACACCAGTCTTTTTCATTAGAGATCCAAGCAAATTCCCAGATTTTATTCATACATAAAAAAGAAATCCTTAAACTAATTTAAAGGATGCTAATATGTTTTGGGATTTCTTGAGTTTGGTACCTGAAAGTGCTCATTAAGTTACTATACTTTTTTCTAATAGAGGTACTCCAGATGGATATAGACAAATGAATGGATACACATCTCATACATTTAGATGGGTAAATAAAGAAGGAGAAGCATTTTGGATTAAATTACATTTCAAAACAGATGCTGGTAATAAATCATTAACAGGTGCTGAAGCTGATGAATTAAAAAGAACAAATCCAGATTATGCTACTTAAGATTTATTTTAACATCTTGCAGCTGGTAAAACAGCTACTTGGACAGTTTAAGTTTAAGTTATGCCAGAATAAGATGGATTCAAATATAAATGGAATATTTTTGATGTTACAAAAGTATGGCCACATAGTGATTATCCATGTCTTAATTTTGGAAAAATGGTTTTGAATAGAAATCCAGAAAACTATTTCTAAGAAGTTGAATAATCAGCCTTCAGTCCAGGACATTTAGTTCCAGGAATTGAACCATCATTGGATAAGATGTTATAAGGAAGATTATTTTCATATCCAGATACTCATAGACATAGATTAGGAACTAATTATACATAATTCCCTGTTAATTGTCCATATAGAGCAAGAGTTATTAATTAATAAAGAGATGGACCTTAATCATTTAATAATTAAGGAAATAGACCAAATTATGAACCTAATTCATTTTAACCATTAAAAATGATTCCAGAATCCAAAACTAGTTAATATAGAGTAACTGGTTTAATAGGAAGATATAAACCATCACATCCAAATGATGATTTTGCTTAACCAGGAGTTCTATACAGAAAGGTTATGAATGATTTTGAAAGATAATGGTTAATAACCAATATTGTTGGACATTTGAAAGTAATTTATTAAATTAATTAATTTAGAATGCCAATAGAGTAATTCAAGAGAGATAAGTCAAAGTATTTACTAAATGTGATCCAGAGTATGGAGAAAGAATTGCTTAAGGATTAGGATTCCCAAACAACAAAGCTAGATTATGATCAAAATAATCAAATATATCATCATATTTATCACATAATTTTTTTATCATGATTCTTGTTATTAACTTTGCTTCTAAGCCATGTTGGAATATATGGTATAGGATATTTCTCTTAATTGTAACCAGTTCCAAATATAAAATCACATAATCCCCATATGCTGAAATTACAAGAATAATAATAATGATGTAAAGTATGACCAGCTGGATCCCATCTTCCATCATGTGCAAGTTAGGCATATATTGATGTTAATAATCCAAAGATATGATGACATAATGGATGGAATGGATAAATGAATGTTGGCAAGAAATGTCCAATAGGCCCTTAAATTAAAGCTTCTACAGGATGTACTGCATCTTAAGCATATGCCCCAGGTTCAACAAATTCATGATGTTCACCATGAAAATGCTTCCAAAAAAAAGGAGTATGTCCTATGATATGTGATGTGTAAAACCACACATCGAAAGTCACCATGTATCTTAATTCATAATAATATTATATTACATAATTAGTGAAATAAAGAATTCTTTTAATCCAAATTCATGTGTCTCATAATAACCATAATAAGGATTCAAAGGTTGTACTTTCCATATTATACAAGTTGTCAACAAAATTACATAGAAAAGTGCTTTAAATCCTCTTCTCATTTCTTCCTTTGTTTAAGCAATTCTTTCAGGAGTCTTTGGGGCAGGATGACTCCAAACTAAAATTTGACTGATACAAAAGTACATGGAATAGTAGAATAAACTATATTAGGTTATTAATTTACCCTATATATATACATGCTATCAAATATTCAAAAATTGAATTTATCTCTAAAACATTATAACTCAATGAATCTGGGAATTTGAGGAAAGGTATTGTAATATAATCATTAGGATTAAAGCAATAACTACTGATAATTGATGTCATCAATAATAAGAATTTTTTCATTTCCTAATTTATTCGATATTAATATATATGATTTTTCTTTTAATATTACAGTTATAACAGATTTTTAGTTAATCTATTTTTTTCATTTTAAGAATCTATATATCTCTATTTGAATTTCTAATATGACATAGTTTAATTATAGTATTGTTTAGATATATGTGATATGTATGAGAAATTGATCTTATATATATTAGATTATTCATGTAATAGCAAGCTTAAGTATTTAATTTTAAGAATTATATTCAAGATTAGATTTGTACAATTTCTTATTAAAAAGTGACATCATATAAGTCTTATTCAAAAATTTGGCATTTTAATAATGTTTACATATATAATTAATATTTATAAATCTTTAATTATTTTGAATTTTATGGCTTAATCAGCTCGTAAAATAATCAAGAAGAGAAAAAGTACTATAACTAGTGCAGAAAAGGTTGATCTTTAATTTTAAGAGGCAGAAGAATAAATACTTACAATTATTAGATAACTTGTAACAATAGAAAAGAATATCTAACAAGAAACATATGATGACTCTTAGTACCTACAATCTAAATATTAAAAATCATTATTACAAATGTTAGAAAAATATAAGGAAATATCAAAAAAAATTGACAGAATATAATGTAGATCAATTTTAAACAATTGATTGTAATAGATTAGAATAAAATATTGATACATATATATTATTAAGATATAACTTTTAATTCTAAATGTAATTGTATGTTTCTTTTAAAATTTTAAAATTACTTGATTTTCTTAACTAAATATAATTACATATTTTATTTTTAAATTCAAATTACTTCCTTCTTAAATTAGGCTGATTTTTCTTAGTAAAAATATATGAATCTGTATAATTATTGTTTCTTACAAAGTTATTTATAAATATTTTTATGAATTCTCCATCTTAAATATAATGTAGATTCTTAAATGTCACATTTATAATATTGTTTAGCAATTATGATATTTCTAATTTTGAGTGCCTTTTTATAAGTAATTTAATTCAATATCAATCAACTTAAATGATTAATTGTATTATGAAGCAATTTTTCCAATTGGTTTGACAACAACAAAATATTGAACCTTTTATAATTAGCTTTTATATAATTGAGTATTTTTATAAAATATATTATTATTATTTATATAAATTTTAATTAATATTATTCTCAATCCTTATAATAGAAGGCAATATATAATACATTTATTTAATTTATATATCTATCAATCCAAAAAAAAACCACATTAATAATTATTTTTTATAATGTCTTTATCAAATTAAATTTTTAGCTTATTAAGTTCACCAGAAACATACAAATAAATTAAGCAATATATAACAAGATTAAGAGATCAAGATGAGTAAAACTATAAATCATTTTAGGAATGTCTATTAACCAATATGTGATGCTATAATTAAAGGTCTGAACGTTAAAGATCATGTTTATAATTTAATGGCTGCTTAATTAGGTAAAGAATCAGTAGAACAACAAAATATGGATTTTAACATTATTTTTTAAGAAGTTTGTTTACCCAAATATGAAAAAATAGCTGAGTTCAAAAAGGACGATCTCAGCGATGACAGAGGAAGATATTATTTCTCAGAAACTCCAAGTAAAGAATAATCCAGTTAGGGAATTAGTTTATTGAGAATTATTTTAGAGAGTATAGAAGTATGGGCAAAAACATATACTTGTAAAAGTGATAAAATTACACAAACACTTTTTTTTCAGACATATTTTAAACTTTGTGTGAAAAAAATAAAATTTCCACATGAATATAAATATTATAATATAGATGAAGTCTAAAAGAATATCTCCTCTTAATTTTAAACACTCATTTATCATTTAACTAAGAATCAAAATGAAAATAAATCAAATTCAATGTAATAAACTTCACAAATAATTTAGTAAGATTAACAATAAAAGTAAATTCAATTTAAAAAATAAATCTTAATTCGTAAATCTAGCAGTATTTCTACTCCTATAGATGAAAAAGAGGCAGAAATAATTTCAAAAGCTCAGAAATTTAAAAATAAATTTAACTTATTGAAAAATTAATTATCAGAAAAAGCTTTAAGAAATAATTTTAAATCAACTTAATAATATATAAAAGATTTAACAGAGGTCAATTAAAGCTTAGAATAACTAATGAAAGATTTGGATAATAATTTTGAAGAATTCTCAAGTTAATATGATGAAGATATTGCTTTAGAACTTTTGGAGATTAGTGATTAACTAAAGGTTCTCTGTTAATTATTTAAAAAATTACAAAAGAATGAATTAACTCCATAAAACTATAGAAATACTGTTGAGAAATATACAAAATAAGTTCCAGATTAAAAGAAAGATAAATTAAATTATGAATAATAAATGGAAGATTTTTAAATATAATATAATTAAATAATAGAGCAAAAAGAAAAAGAAAAATAAATTATACAATAGGAACATGAAAAAAAGGTATCAAATTTAGAACAATAAATTACAGATTCAAATTAGTAGAGAAATCTATTAGAGGGTTAATTAAAGTAATTGTAAATTAACTATAGAGAGCTGAAAAATAATTCAATTTAATAATAAGATCTAGAAAGAATGAATAATAATTTAATTGAATAAATAAGGGAATTGAATTTATAATATGAATAAATGTAGAGATAGAGTGAAGAGAATAGCCTTAAAATAGAAAATTAGCGATTTAAAATATCTAAATTAAAAGAGGACAAACAAAAGATATAATAGGAAATAGAAAATTTAAAAAGCTAATATAATAGTGATATAACCTAATTAATAAATTAAAATAGATAATTAACAGAAAATTAAAATAGAACGATAAATTAATTTCAGGATTAGAATGAATTAAATAGGGAAATTTCTGAACTTAAAAAATAATTAAAGACTGAGAGGATAAGATCTGGTTTATTGATGGAAGAGAATAAGCAGATAAATTAAACGATATTAAATCTTCAATAATAATTAAGTACTAGAGATTAAACATAATAGACCAATTAATTTGTTGGTCAACATAATTAAGACTTATAATAATGTTAAGCTGAATTAATAAACTATAAATAATAATTACGATAGTTGGAGGCATTGAAAAAAACAGAAGAACATTAGTACATAGAGAAAATAAATAATCTTGAATAACAATTATAAATATAATTAAAGGAAAGTGAAAAACATAAAACTTAATCTATTTCTCTTAATTAATAAATTATAGAATTACGTAAAGAATTATAAAAATAAAAAAAGTAATCAGGATAGGAATAAATAATATAATTTGAAAATCAATAACCTAAAAGTAATTATAATCTTGAGTAGGCTACTTAAAGAGCTAATTCAAATAAAAGAGAATAAACTTAACCTAGTACATAAAGAGTTAATTCAAATAAACGAGAATAAACCTAAACTAGTGTACCATATTTTGATTATTAGCACTTTTAAAATAATCAAATAGATTTTTTTGAAAATGTCTAAAATTTATTTACAAAAACTCAATCATAAAAGATACCTTTGAAAAGTGAAATAATGATATATCCTCATTAAACTGCAGAATCGTATTATAACAAAAAAGTTCAACCTCATAAAGGAATTGTTATTAAATTTCATAATTTTTTATAAAATCGACTTATAAATCAAAATAATTTGACATTGTATAAAATTTACCATTTGAATAGAATCAATCATACAATTTTTGTTGATAATTAAGAATTAAAAATTGGAGTTCTCAAATAAGTTCAATAGAATAGTTTCGATTATTATATAAATTATGGTTTATATTTAGAAACTGGCTTTAAATGTTTGAAGTTAAATGCATGCATTAAAAATTCAATGAATTTTAAAACTATTTGGACATCTTTTCAAGAGATATAGTAAAATTTATATTATAAATAATAAATGCTTTTGGAAGTTAGTATTAAAGTAAGAGAAAGAGAAATGAATGAAGTGCCAATATTGGAAATAAATTATAAGTAAGTTATGATATTAATAATATAGTAATAAGATTGAATAAATTTTATTGCCAATTCAAATTTTATGTTTGATATAATATCATAAAATAAATTATAATAGATATCAAACTAGATGGAAGACTTCAAAAATATATAGGTCTGAAGTATTTGAATACAATCAATTAGTTTTAACTGATCATAAAGATATTACTAAATTAAATTAATGTTTTAGTATAAAAAATCCAGATAAAATTAATAGTTATTGTTAAGGTTTTGATGAAATAAAATATATTGCATAGTTTGGATTAAAATAGTATAATGTAGAAGGTATTATAAAATTTGAGTTGATGCCTGATAATAAAATGATAATTTATGTAGGAATTGAAAATGGTATGAATAGTTCATTGATTAAGAGATTAATAAATGCATATTAAAATATTTTTATATAAGTTTGATGAATTAATTGAAAATATGATTAATTATATATTTAATTGAGTAAATTTTAATAAAACCATATAAATGCAGATTATAATATAAATATAATCCATAAATCTAACTGATAAATGCTATAAATAATGAATACTGTTTAGAAAATAAAAGATTCAAAATCAATTTCAAATGAGAGTATAAGGATTGATTCATCTCAATCAAATGTAATACATAATATTGATAAAACACAATTGTATTATAAATATGTAATTATAATAGTTAGAATCCCGTTTTTAAGATTGCCCCATTAGATAATTTTCAAAGTGTGAGTGATAATAAATATTCACATATATTTAGTTCATTTGCTCAATCTCCTAGACAAGAGGAATAATAACACTTAAATTAGTTAGGAAATTAGTAAAAATCAAAAAAGAGAGCATTTTCTTTAACAGAACCTGAAACAATAAAAAAAGATCACAAATACAATGCATCTGATGGAGATTTAATAAATTAGAAAACATATACTGTCCATACAACAAGAATATTAGAATGTATAAGGAAAGAAAGAGATAATTAATTAAATGCTGAAACGCCAAAACTAGGTTAAAATTAGTTATAGGATTCATAATTAACAGTAAAATAGATATATGATTAATAATAATATTATTCTCCAAGAAATATGGATCATAAATTTAATGATTGTTCTAGTTTTGAAGCTAAATAAACATAAACAACTACAATAGGTTCAATCACTAGTAAAAATCAATTAGATAATATATTAAAAGAATGTTTATTAAATTTTGAGAAGAATAAGGCAGTTAGAGCTGATGAATATGTTGCCTGTCTTATATTTTGACATATTGATATAATCATATATTTATTTAAAACGTAATCATTTATTGTCAAATTAATGTTCAGTTGAGTCTTCACCTGAAGATATCAATGTACTTTGATTAACAATAGTCATGACATGATCAATTAATTCAGCTCCAGACCATCTAAATTAATATATATATAATTTATATTACTTTTAATGTCTTAATTAATCAACATTATGTTTCTCTTCTTTTCNGATATTACTAAATTAAATTAATGTTTTAGTATAAAAAATCCAGATAAAATTAATAGTTATTGTTAAGGTTTTGATGAAATAAAATATATTGCATAGTTTGGATTAAAATAGTATAATGTAGAAGGTATTATAAAATTTGAGTTGATGCCTGATAATAAAATGATAATTTATGTAGGAATTGAAAATGGTATGAATAGTTCATTGATTAAGAGATTAATAAATGCATATTAAAATATTTTTATATAAGTTTGATGAATTAATTGAAAATATGATTAATTATATATTTAATTGAGTAAATTTTAATAAAACCATATAAATGCAGATTATAATATAAATATAATCCATAAATCTAACTGATAAATGCTATAAATAATGAATACTGTTTAGAAAATAAAAGATTCAAAATCAATTTCAAATGAGAGTATAAGGATTGATTCATCTCAATCAAATGTAATACATAATATTGATAAAACACAATTGTATTATAAATATGTAATTATAATAGTTAGAATCCCGTTTTTAAGATTGCCCCATTAGATAATTTTCAAAGTGTGAGTGATAATAAATATTCACATATATTTAGTTCATTTGCTCAATCTCCTAGACAAGAGGAATAATAACACTTAAATTAGTTAGGAAATTAGTAAAAATCAAAAAAGAGAGCATTTTCTTTAACAGAACCTGAAACAATAAAAAAAGATCACAAATACAATGCATCTGATGGAGATTTAATAAATTAGAAAACATATACTGTCCATACAACAAGAATATTAGAATGTATAAGGAAAGAAAGAGATAATTAATTAAATGCTGAAACGCCAAAACTAGGTTAAAATTAGTTATAGGATTCATAATTAACAGTAAAATAGATATATGATTAATAATAATATTATTCTCCAAGAAATATGGATCATAAATTTAATGATTGTTCTAGTTTTGAAGCTAAATAAACATAAACAACTACAATAGGTTCAATCACTAGTAAAAATCAATTAGATAATATATTAAAAGAATGTTTATTAAATTTTGAGAAGAATAAGGCAGTTAGAGCTGATGAATATGTTGCCTGTCTTATATTTTGACATATTGATATAATCATATATTTATTTAAAACGTAATCATTTATTGTCAAATTAATGTTCAGTTGAGTCTTCACCTGAAGATATCAATGTACTTTGATTAACAATAGTCATGACATGATCAATTAATTCAGCTCCAGACCATCTAAATTAATATATATATAATTTATATTACTTTTAATGTCTTAATTAATCAACATTATGTTTCTCTTCTTTTCTTTAAATATCTTCCACATAAGCCAACATATATCTTTCTGATAAATCCTTAGAGAATCTTTCACTTTATAATGCATTTAAATGAAATCCTGCTAACGTAATAAACTACATATATATTAGTAAATGTAAACTTGCCAAGTATATCCTAATTTTCCTAATTCTGAATTAAAATTTTTTAGTTCACTATCTGAAAATCCAAATTTACTCCAATTAAAACTTGGAGAACAATTATAACAAAGGACCTTATTATTTTAAAGTTCAAATTATAATTCATCAGAAAGTTCCTTAGCAACTTTTAAATCAGGAGTTGAAGTTTCCATCCATAAAGCATCTGCATATTTTAAGTATTCCTATATTAATAAATATTAAATACTTTAGCTCTTATTGCACAATAATGAACACTACTCTTAAGTGCATAAAATCCATCTGGATTTCTACATTATTCCCAATCAAAATCTAATTCAAATCCTAATCTCTTTGCTAATTCTTTAGCTTTCTTTATTCCACCTGTTTCACATTATTTCAACCATTAATTAGTTGCTTATATTCTTTTTTCTTTGTCTATCATTTATTCAATGATAAAAACTCCTGCTTCTGGATAAGTACAAGGTTTATCATGAAATTTAGTTACACCAAGGATGTATGGTTAATCAATTAAATCAACATTTGTTTCAATGAATCGTGCACCTAATGCATCAGTTCTTGCAATTATAAATAACTCATTTCCCATAATATCAGCTTAAAGTCGAGATGCTATGAGTTTTTAGACATGAGTATTAGTAGATGTAACTACTCTTCCAGCCATATGACCACATTTCTTTAAATCAGGTCTTTAATCTTCTAAATGAATTCCTGCAGCACCAGATTCAATAAATAATTTTGTCAATTTCATTACACTACTTGTACCACCAAATCCAGCATCTGCATCACAAATAACAGGAACTAGATAATCATAAGGTTTTTTTTATTTTCGTTATTCAGCAGTAATTAAACTTCTTTCATATTACTATCGTCTGTCTTAAAATCTTTGCATCTACCATCAATTTTATAATTACTTTAACTAATTAATCACATTTCTTAGGTACAGTGTCATATGGATAATCAGCAAAATCAGGACCTGGATCATTAGTAGTAGAAGCTGAAGATGAGCATTGCCAACCTGATACATATATTGATGTCATATATTTAGACATGTTGATAACCTAAACAGTGTCTAATGCTCCACATGCAAGAGAGAAACTATAATCATAATTAGAAAATACCCTTTGCTTTATTTTAAATCCATCATCAGATTATAGAATTTTCTTGACATGAAATCAGAATATTGATTAGGTACAATCGATCCTCTAACTTCAGCAACTTATTTGGCTGTGTATGGACGCAAGACATTATTGAAGCGTGGACTCTTGAACCAACTAAAAGATTAGAATATTTTGAATGATTACTTTTCCAATTCAGTTATCTGCTAAAGCAATTTCTATTCTTCATCAAATTGTCCACTCAACTAGGATAATCTATTCATAAATTAAAAATTATTTAGGTATAAACGATTAAGTTAATGGGATATTTTATAATAATAAAATCACAAGTACATTCCAATTCAATTGAGCAACTTCTATAATCTCTATATCTCCAATACTAACAGTTGACGCACATTCTCTTTTATTTTCTAATCTTATACATAATTTAAAGTTGCATCAATTTTAATAGTTTAGAATCTATTAGATTTTTGAGACAACCAATCTTCATGTCTTTAGTGTAATTTCTTTAAATAATCAAGTGGCACAGATACTTCTTCTGATCTTCCTCTTTTTATCAATCTTTCTAGACATATTTCTGGTGGAGTATTAACATATATTACACAATCTATCAAATATTATGGATAATGATTCATTAACCATTAATAAAATTCTTCATAAATTTCATATTCTATTTAGCTAATATTTCCATCATTATAACATAATTTAAAAAAGAGTTCTCTTGCACTTTCAATACTTCTTTCAGTAAATACTAATACTGGTTCTTTGCTTTATTAATTATTTTTTAACAATTATTATAATTATCTATCCCATGCCATTAATCTAGATTAATAAGCATAAATTTAAAAAGTGAAACCCCATCTATCTACATCTTAGTAGTANATTCAATAAATAATTTTGTCAATTTCATTACACTACTTGTACCACCAAATCCAGCATCTGCATCACAAATAACAGGAACTAGATAATCATAAGGTTTTTTTTATTTTCGTTATTCAGCAGTAATTAAACTTCTTTCATATTACTATCGTCTGTCTTAAAATCTTTGCATCTACCATCAATTTTATAATTACTTTAACTAATTAATCACATTTCTTAGGTACAGTGTCATATGGATAATCAGCAAAATCAGGACCTGGATCATTAGTAGTAGAAGCTGAAGATGAGCATTGCCAACCTGATACATATATTGATGTCATATATTTAGACATGTTGATAACCTAAACAGTGTCTAATGCTCCACATGCAAGAGAGAAACTATAATCATAATTAGAAAATACCCTTTGCTTTATTTTAAATCCATCATCAGATTATAGAATTTTCTTGACATGAAATCAGAATATTGATTAGGTACAATCGATCCTCTAACTTCAGCAACTTATTTGGCTGTGTATGGACGCAAGACATTATTGAAGCGTGGACTCTTGAACCAACTAAAAGATTAGAATATTTTGAATGATTACTTTTCCAATTCAGTTATCTGCTAAAGCAATTTCTATTCTTCATCAAATTGTCCACTCAACTAGGATAATCTATTCATAAATTAAAAATTATTTAGGTATAAACGATTAAGTTAATGGGATATTTTATAATAATAAAATCACAAGTACATTCCAATTCAATTGAGCAACTTCTATAATCTCTATATCTCCAATACTAACAGTTGACGCACATTCTCTTTTATTTTCTAATCTTATACATAATTTAAAGTTGCATCAATTTTAATAGTTTAGAATCTATTAGATTTTTGAGACAACCAATCTTCATGTCTTTAGTGTAATTTCTTTAAATAATCAAGTGGCACAGATACTTCTTCTGATCTTCCTCTTTTTATCAATCTTTCTAGACATATTTCTGGTGGAGTATTAACATATATTACACAATCTATCAAATATTATGGATAATGATTCATTAACCATTAATAAAATTCTTCATAAATTTCATATTCTATTTAGCTAATATTTCCATCATTATAACATAATTTAAAAAAGAGTTCTCTTGCACTTTCAATACTTCTTTCAGTAAATACTAATACTGGTTCTTTGCTTTATTAATTATTTTTTAACAATTATTATAATTATCTATCCCATGCCATTAATCTAGATTAATAAGCATAAATTTAAAAAGTGAAACCCCATCTATCTACATCTTAGTAGTATAGTATTAGATTTACAAATATAATTGTACTTCTCTAAAATATTTAGATTAGAATTCCCATTAATTTTTTGCCATTACTCTAAAGGTTCCATAAGAAAAATAGCTTATGGATATTCTTGTTTTAAGATTTCAAATAAAGTTGATTTACCTGCTCCTATATTACCTTCTAATGAAATAATGATAAATTTCTTTTCCATTTTTATTATTGTTAAATAGCATTAATAAATTATATTTGAGTAATTTTATAACCATAATTATTTATTAATGTAAATATCTATATACAATAAATATTTCATTCAATTTATTTCTAATAATATTATTTAATTAGTTAAATATCTTTTAACTTTTTTAAAGTATTCTTTATATTTAAAGAATCTCCTATCTACTTTTATTGAAACTCCAAAAAAGGCTAAAAGAGAGATGTCAACATATCTATCTAGGCTGCAGTCATTAAATTTATATTCTAATCAAAAGTCTTAATAACTTGATTGATAAATTTATCTGGCTATAATATGAATTTAGGTCTCTCATACTAAAAAAAATAAATTAAATTAATTCTATACCAAATATTGCAATATGATAATTAAATCATCCATACTAACAGAATCACTATATTTGTAAAGATTATCTTCAACAAAATGCATTTATTATATTGGAGCATTCTTGATATCATCATAGTTCTATTCAATAAACTCATAAAATTTAATAATATCTTGAATTTAAAATTAACCTGGAATTTAAGTTACTCTATTGATTAGATTATTTTAAATATTTTTGAAATCATCTTTAATAAAAGTTGGAAGAAGAGTCATAGTAGTTACTAGAGATTCTAAATCATAATAAGTTAACTTATTGACCATTAGATTATGAACTTTGTTTTAAAAATCTGGATGCAATTGAAATTCATGATATTTATCCTATGCTTCTTTATAGATTCCTAATAATTTTGCTACAAGATGACCATCATAACTTAATTCAGAAAGGGATTATAAGAAAAAATTTCTATTGAACATATGACCTTTAAATATCACATATTACATTGAATCATAAAATTCCAAGGATCCTTGTTTTCCCTTTGCAAAACAGAATAAGATATCAACCATCATTTTAGTAGTGTAATTTAAGGATAGATTAGTTAATATATGTTATTCTAATTTAGCAAACATTTCAGGATCAAATCTATTAACTTTGGCTAATGCCATAGCTATAGAGTGATAATGAATAGGATTGACTTCCCAAATAGTTATTCGAATAACTCTTTCTAATTTTTTATAAACCTTATCAATCTTATTTTATATGGTTTCTTCACTTTAACCATAATACATTAATGGTAATTTACAAAATCCTTATGCTGCAAAGACACTTTCATCAAATGTTGTATGATATTAATCTTCTAATATTTTGTATTCCAATAATCTCCACATTTCTCTATCATTAATATCCAATTTATTTAGACAATATGCATAGGATCCAATTAATGGAAATTTATCATGTTGATTTGTTATTAAACATTTCTTAATATGGTTTAAAAATTCTTTAAAATTATAATTGTTCATTATCTATGATCTTATACCATGTTCTTCTGAAATATGAACTAGATGACGCAAAAAATAAATCAAATCATTGAATGAATATTTAAATTCAACTGATTTTAGATGTGTTAATATTTTTGCAGGATCTCTGATATGTTATAATCCATATTTGTCATCATGATCAGCTATAAAGGAATGATCTGAATTTGGTAGTAATTTGCCTTCATGATTTATAGTTGTTCTAAACTCATCATCATATTTCATTGCAGGATTCTTTTAAGAATAATTACTAAAGTAACAGGTGAATCTCTAAAACTTGGTTTTTCTACATATTTTGTTAAATGATTATCTCAACATTTATGATTTTTTTATGTTAGAAAAATATTATCATATTAAATATCATAAATATTTATCATAATTATATTTATTTGATAATATATATATATTTATGGATATACATTTAATGTAGAATATAATCAGAAATATATTTATTATTATATGATATCTAAGTTGGATTTGATTATTATGATTGATTATTTAAAAATATTATTGTGTATTAATTAAAAATTATTTAAATTATTTCTAACATTTGAAGATGAATATTGCAGAGAGATTATAGAAAGAGGCTGAAAAGAAAAGATTACAATAAGAAGAATAATTGAAAATAGGCAATAAAGCTATTAAAGAAAAATATGAAACAGAATATTAGGAAAACAAAAATAAATTGAGTTAGGAAATCAAATAAGACATTAAATTAATCTCTCAATAGTATCCTAGTTTCTAAGTAAATTCAATTTACAATTAAAAAGAAATTTGCTTTGTACAAAATTTATAAGCAGTTCGATTTCAATAGAGAGATTGCGAATGAATACATTAGCATTTAAATCTAAAATCAAAATTAATAAGACAATGATGATGATTGGATTGAAATTACTAGTAAAAGGAAAACCCTCTTTTATAAGATGTCTCAATCAAATAAAAATAATTAAAAACCTAAGAGATCATAATCTGTGACTAATAAAAAAGAGCCAGAAAATGATTCATAAAGATAGTCTTATGTCAATGAAAATTAGAGAAATTAAAGAAGAAATATCTCTGGAGATAGAAAAAGAGAAGTTTCTCCAAGAAAATTCAATTATCAAAATCGAAAATATGAGAAATTTGATAATGATAGAAACAATATTAAAAATGAAGGACGTAGAAAATAGTTTTTAAATTAAAAACCTAATATCCCTTTATAAAACACATATTAACCTAAATATATCTATGTACCTAAATATGAAGATGATGAATGTCCATACGTGCCTAAATCAATAGTAACTTAAACTTAAAATGTTTTTCATCAAAAATAATAAGAATAAAATTTGAATGGAAATACTTAAGAAACTATAAATTAATAATCAAATACAGATCTATTTAAACAAGTTATGGTTTCATAACAATAGTAAAATAAATAGGATTGTATTGTTTAAGATAAAATAACATAAGATTAATTGAAAAAATAAGAAGAATAAATTAAATAGGATTAGATTTAAAAAGAAAAATAAAGATTAGAATAAATAAAATAAGAATAATTAAAATAAGAATAATAAAGATTAGATTAAATAAAATAAGAATAAATAAGATAAGAATAATAAAGATAAAATTAATTAAAATAAGAATAATAAAGATTAGAATAAATTAGATAAGAATAAATAAAACAAGAAGAACTAAGATAAGAATAAATAAAATAACAAATAAAAAATGAGCAAATTAGATAAGAAAATATTCGATTAGAAGAATTAAAAAAAGAATAAATTAAATAAGAATAATTAATATTAGAATAATAGAAAAATTCCTTAAATTAAACATAATAATTTAATTATTAAAATCAATCTCTCTTATAAGATTAATAATAACCATAACCTTTGAATTAATAATTTAAAAGCTCAATGTTTGCTCCATAATTCTAGATGGTTCCTTAATAAGAGAATTCAAATAATAATAACCAGCCTTCTGTCTATGAGATGCTGATGAGTTACATTAATTATGAATGAGGATAATATATTGATATATTTTATTATATTAACAAATATAATCATTTGATAAATATCTAATTTGTAAATGCAACCAATAAATTAGTTGCTTATCACAATAGCAAAAATTTTAGAAGAAATTTTAAAGGAAACAGATTCTCTGAGTTTGTAATAGGCTTCTGTATTTCATACATCACGGGCTCCATCTATATCAATTCAGAATTACATTTAGAGGATTGCAAAATATACACATTGCAATAGTGTTTGCTTTGTTTTTGCACTAATTTATCTAGATAAAATTTAGGAATTGCACTAAGATGTAGTGCTTAATTCAAATTGTATTCATAGGTATGATATTATAATTATGAATTGATTTATGATAGTTTCTATAATGGTTGCCATAAAATATTATGATGATGAATATTATAAGAATGAATATTATGCAAAAGTTGGAGGATTATCATTAAAAGAGATAAATGAATTAGAAATGGAATTCTTGAGTATGTTGAATTATGAATTATTCATCTAAAAAGAAGTATTTGAAGTTTATGAAGAGAGATTAAAATAATATGAAGTCATAGAGATCTGATGTATTTGAGATTTAATTGATGATTATACTGTTTATGATTAGTTTGCAATTAAATAACTAAAAGGCTGTTAATTTTATTATTTTATAATTCATTCTTTTTTTCCAATATGATTATTATAGATTACATTTAGATTTTCCTAATTAGACATCTAGTTCAAATTATCATTCATATTATTTTCTGAAATATCTACACTTGGATAAGCCTCCATAAATCTATGATAATTTAATAAATTTTAAATACCTCTGTCTTATACCTTCATCTTTGAGATAGACTCCTGGAAGTTAATTGCCTAGAGTGATCCAATTAGGTCTACAATTATGAGGTCTTCCAAACAATTCTACTTTTTTTCCATTTGGACACATTCTGTTGATAATACCATAAACTTCATCAGGTTTTCTGGAAGTTTCCCTAACTTCTGAGACAATTACATCACAATCTAATCCTTTTATTATTTGTGGATTTCCTTTGATTCCAATCAAACAATGTTCCTATAAGATTTAATAATAAAAATATACTTTACTATGATTAAGCCAATGACCTGTTCTACCTGTTCTGATAATACGATGTAATTGATTTACTTTAATCCAAACTAATTCTTCAACTCTTCTATAACCCCAAAGAATTAAACATTCTCTACCTAATTCCATTGCTCTTCCTGTGACCCATAAGAAAATGATTCCATCATTTTATAACAAATCTACTCTTAATGCTTTCATTTCTTTATCTTTTAATGTTCCATAAGGTAAATTCATATGTATATCCCAAGGAGGATCAGCCATAATAACATCGAATTTTCCAAGGACTCTAAAATCAAAGATTCTTAAATCACAATTAATCCATTGAGGTGCCATACTCTTATGATTAGATAAAGCTGTTTATATTTTTTTTTACCAATCAACATCATTTCCATCAAGAATATAATGTATATATTTACATTATTCTTATTCAGGACATTAATCCAAATATGTACAATTACCTAATTTAGTTTATGTATTTGCTTTTAGTATTTTTCTAAAATGAGTTTTTTAACATTAAACATTTCTACATTTATCTCTTGTAAAATTTTCACATATTTATAATCCTCTTTCTGTAAATTTTCTTTTTGCTTCTTCTTCATCATAATTTTCAGTTTTCAATAAAGCTGCTCTTTTCCTTTCTAATGCTAATTATACAACATTGTCTTCATATTTTAAACTAATATTTCCTACATTTTCAATTAATCTTTTTTTCTAAGCAGCAATCTTTGGTAATAAACTAACATTAGTTTTTTAATTTCTAGCTTCATCTAATAAATGATCAATTTTTAAAAATGTTTATCCACTTGTAATAGATCTAATTTCCTCTTTAATCCATTCTTCAACTGTTGGCATTTACTTTGGTTTATCCTTTGAATATTATATATTCATTTAACCCAATTTCTCCTTTGAGATTGATAAAATGAAATCCTGTAAATATGTACCTACTGCTAATTTCGATAGATTTATTGCACCAGCTTCAGACAATTAAATTAAGATTGGTTCAATTTAGAGATTTCTTAAATATGGAGTACTTGTTTTAGTCTTAAATGAATCAATTAATGCAATACTAAAAATATTGTATTTATGTAAGTGTATAATTCACCACCTGATATAGGGTAATCAAATTAATCACTCAGCATAAATTCAATAACAACTGCTCTAAATTATTCTTAATTTATTGGAGGAAATCTTAGTACTTCATTTTTTTCTTTGTCTCGTGACCTAGAACGATTTGGATCTCCTTTTACCTTCTTATATTTATCTTTATTCATTAATAATAAATTTATATTTATAAATATATATATATTATATTACATTCAACGACTAATGCTTTACTAATTAAGAGGTTGAATACAATAATTAGAATAAGAAGAATTCGTATAAAATAATTGATCAAAAATATATTTGACAATTATTAACATGAATTAATTATAATTATATTGTATATTTCATTGCAAAAAAAAATCAATATAAATACTAGTTGTTTAACTTATATTATTTGATATTTTCAAACCATTTAAAGTACTTGTTTAATTTATTATTCTTCAAAAACAAATATTCTAATTTATGTATTTTGTAATTCTTCTTCAATTTATTATACATCTTAATGACTCAAAATCAAAAAACGAATCTGTATATTATGATATACACTTCAAACTTCTAATTTAAAGTGAATTTTGATATTCAATATTGGAGATGAAGACACTTTTAAAGAAATAAATTACAGTCATTTTAGTGGGATTTTTGAAAATATGAGAAATTTGTGGAAAATTATTATAGTTCAAAAATAATGGTAATAATATTGTTTTCAGATAAAATTATGGAAATTCCTATTATTATTAATTGGAATATGAAGTAAAATAATTGATGGCTTCATCTGAATAATTAGATTTTATGGGTATTTTTGATTAAAAGTTTATGTATTATAATCAGTCGAAAAAGAGGTTTGCACTATGAAGTGGCTTTCCTCTTGTATCATTGATTTCAATCAAGAGAATTAAGGAATTCTTCCAAATCCTTTGTGTCATCTACAATAGAATCCTCCTGTGAGAAGTTTTTTATCATTGGATTTTGAGCTTCGGCTCTTAAAATTTCTATAAAACTAAGATCTTCATCAGCCGAACAATCTGATCTTGCATTATCCATTCTCTACAAGACAGGCTGTTATATCTGAATAGGTTTCAAGAGCCTCTACATCTGGATGATAATAAAATAATTATAATGTTATTTTTAATAATAATGATATTCTTTTTTCACCTCACTTTATTGGTAATAATATTTTGTTTTAATAATGTAAATACTAATAAATATACCATTCCACAAATTGTACTCTTAACTAAAACTTCTACAATACACCAAGATAACTTTCCAGCTAGGACTTCAATGTTGGATAATGCAAATGATGCACTTTCATAAGAGTTTTGTGATAAACTCATTATTTATATTAAATTAATGTATATTTTTGAATATTATTTCTAAATTTTCAATCATTCCTTCACTCGTGTCTCAATTTCTTACAAAACTTCCTCTTCTGGAGCTCCATTCATTAAAAATTCATGTTCTAACACTTGTTACAAAGATATCCGTTTTTCTGGATCACATTCTAACATGGACATTATCAAATTTTTGAATTCTTATGGTAATTGTTATTGTTTAAATTATTCGCATTTGCTCCAAAAGAGATCAAATTGTTTACTCTATATTAAACCCCACCATCCATCTTTTACATTAGGATCATTTGTTTAAAATGGAGGGAATCCCATAACTACAATAAATAATACTACACCCAAAGCAAAGACATCACATTTAAATAGATTTACTTATGGATTTATGTACATCTCAGGTGCAGTGTATCCAGGAGTACCTCCAGGAGGTCTTAAAGGCTCTTTACATATGCGAGCAAAACCAAAATCACAAAGTTTCAAATTGTAATCTGCGGCTATTAAAATATTCTCAGGCTTTATATCACAATGGGCAATAGAAGCTGCATGAAGTGTAACAAGCACTCTTGTAAGATAGGAAGCCAAAGTCTTTGCAAATGACAATTAGAATGGACCTTTTTTTAACACTTTTAAAAATGTGTCATTGGGCATATACTCTAATAGAACACAAGTATAATCTTAAGCGTATCCTTTCAACAAAACTGTTCCTGCATGATCTATGCATTTAAGAATTTGTATTTCGTTCGCTAAATAAATTGTAATTAAACCTGGAGATTTCTTATGTGATCCTATGATAAATTTGTTAACACTTTTAGAGCAAACATTTCTCCCGTTTTCTTATGCATAGCCAAATAAACTCTAGCATCATGTCCTTGACCCAGAGGAGGGTTCAAATTAACAACAAAACATTTTTAGAAGTCTTGTTGAGTGAAAACAAAAATATTGTTTCCAGATTACATTATATATTATTTCTTAATTAATTAAAAATTTAAATATTGCTAAATCAAATTAATTATCATCAGATTTTTAAAGAATGAAATCTATATACATCATACTTATTATTTAATGAAATTTTTTAATCATTTATTCTCAACAAAAATTAGTATATGTATTATTATTAACAAACTAATATGTATTCATTAGATATTTAGAAATATATTATAATATAAAACTAAATATTTTATAGATTTTTATGAATTCAATATCAAAATAGAAACAAACAAACAAAATTACTAAATTTCATTAAATATTTGAATATTTTTTATTGACTCCTTTATTTGATTTCATTCATTACTCAAACTCATAATTTAATTTTTTTAAATTCCATAATATATATTACTTAAAATATAGATTTAAGAATAAAGAGAGAATTCATCGAATTATTTCTTAATATTTGAATTAATTTTATCAAGAAAATAAAAATAATATTTTAAACACTAAAGATTGATATTTAAAGAAATTGAAAAAGCAAAATCATACCAATTTTTAAACACTAATTCTAGTTGGTTCGGTAGCAACACGTTTACCAATGTTTGGAAGAGGTGAATTCATTGGGGATTGCATAGGAGATCCAAGTGGAGATCCAAGACCATTATTAAGTGAAAATCCAAATGAAGAACCTAATTGATTTCTCAAAGGAGAACCTAATCCATTTATTTAAGGAGTTCCTAAACCTGCTCTTAATGGAGAACCTAATGGTGAACCTGTTTAAAAAGAGAATTAATTTATTCCTTTTTGATCCTACAAATTGTTTGAACTTTTAATAATATTAATAGAAAGTTCCTTATATCTATGAAATCTTCTAACCCAAGGACTAATTAAAATTTCAGCAGTTGTAGGTCTTCGATTTGGATCATTTTCCAACATCTATTTGACCAACAATTTACATTCATCACTAATTCCAAATTTAAAAAACAATTATCCAATTTTAGGAAAATCATTATGAAGCATTTCCTATTATATTTATTTATGATTTATACATATAATACAATTCCCAAACTCCATATATCTAATTTTTCATTTTAAACTTTATTTCCTATCACTTCAGGTGGCATATATTCAAGTGTTCCACAAATTTGAGGACTAACATATCCACCATAAAGGGATGTACTCCAAGTGAAATCAGCTAATTTAATTTGATCTTCAGATGTTAAAAGTAAATTTGATAGCTACTCTAATATTTGATATTTGTACCTTTATGTCTCTATGTAAAACATTCTTTGAATGTAAATATTGAACAGCCTTAACAATTTTTACAAAATATTATAATGCTTTATCCTCTCTTAAAGGTCCACTTAATTGAATATTAGTAAATAGACATCCTCCATTACAATACTCAAGTAACATATATAAATATTCATTGTCTTCAAATGCTTCAACCATAGCTACAATATTTGGATGAGTTAGTTTGGATTATATATTAATTTCATTTCTTAAATTGGAAATGTCTGTCTAGGAAAGAGACTTTTTACTAATCTTAAGAAGTTATTAAAAAGGTATTACAATTTTAGCAGCATGATAACTACCTAAGATAACAGCTTTGGCTAACAAAACAACTCCATAAGCTCCCTTTCCCAATACTTTATTATAGACAATATACTTATCCTTTGATCCTTAAACTTAAAATTATTCGATCATATTATAATAATAAATCTTTGATAAACATCAGAACTTAACTTGAATACTAAAAATACGTTTTTAAATTTAAATTTCCAAATCATATTGTTATTTACTTCTAAAAAGAAATAGAACTCAATAACTTTCATAACGGCTATATATTCTTTTAGAATTATATATTTTTAATATATAAACAGATGAATAAACTTAAAAAATCAATCATTTTTATAATATATAGCATATATATTTGAAATAGATTCATAATAAATCTTCTAAATATTTAACAATATTGTTATAATTTATTCTTTATAGTAATATAATTAATTTTGTAATAAAAATAAGTATTTAATAATGAAATTAAAAATTAAAGTTCTGATTTTTATACTGAAAGAATTTAAAAGAATGAGATAGAAAGATAAAAAATATATGATAACAATTATTTAAGAAAAACGAAATTCATACTCCTTACTCTTACCGTTATTTTGTATAATTTTATTACATTAAAATAGGAAGTGATTACAATTTATATCCCTTAGGAGGATGCTACAATTTTATACTAAAAACTTTTGGTTTTACAAATGAACCATTTTGCATCTATACTTATTATTGATAAGAAATTGAATGCTATTAGATTGGTGGTTAATAATGTGATTATTGTTGAAAGTATAACTATAATTAAAATTATATATTTTTTTACTTATTCTTGATCAATCTATTTAGATTATTTATTTTTTTTTCTAATTGAAAATTTCTTTTCATTTTTTTAATCTTAAATTGATTTTATTTACATTAATGGAGATAAATTAGATAAGGAATTTTATTGACTCATTTAAATAATTTAGAAACTAGAATTATCTTATTTGCTTTCTGCTCTTCTAAATTAAATTAAGTCAATAAGTTATATTTCTGGGATTCTCTTTTCAGCAAAATTATATAAGTCTTTTAATGATTCTGATTATTGATAATCTTCATAAGTTACAAAATTATCAGGTTCAAGCTAGGGTTAGGATTAAATAGGTTCTTGTACTTATTACAAAGTTTAATCTGGTTCTTCTTAAGTGACTTCTTAATCAGCCTTTGTAATTTTAGTAGGATATAAATTAGTATTTACTTTGCTTTAAACATGCTTATACAATTAACTTTTCTATGTAAGTATAGGTTTCTATGTACAAGATTATGGTTTAGGTTATTCAGAAATAGTATCTCTTTTTAAATTTCTTCTTATATCTAATAAGTCATTAAAATATATTATACTTGCTCCAGTCCAGTCTTCATATAATTTCTAAGCATGTTATAGGAATTCATCATAGGATTTATCACATGGATATATCAATTCAAAATCTCCTTTGTTTTTTAATTCATATTCATCTCTTTCTTTCTATGCTTACATTTTCAAGACTCTTTTTTCCTCATATGATAATTTAGCCTTTTTTCCAGTAAAGACTCTTTTTTACATTTGATCCTTCTTCTATGAAATGATTTCATTCTTTGTTTTCACATTTATATTCATTAATGTAATTGCATCTCTAATTAGATTTTTTTTAATGTAAGAATCTAGAGGAGTATCAGTTGTAAAACTAGGAGTGTGATTGACTTCTAATAAATATGGTTTAAGAGAACTATCAATTAAAATATCAAAACCAAGAATTTCAAAACACATATTATTAGCATAATTTTCTACTTAAGTATAGTTTTATTATAATATTGGTTGAACAGCACAAAATGTTTTAATAATTAAATCTTTGATATCACTCAATAATTAATCTACATTTTATTTCTATATAAAATGTTATTATATTTACTTAAAGTCTTAACCAATCAAAAACACTAGTCATACTTCTTTTATGTCCAACATCCATCTTCTTTTCATCTTCATTAAATACAAAATTTGGATTGTCTTTATTTATAGCATAATTAGTCAAATGCATGCAAACATCATCAAGATTAGTTGAATGAGGTGATGAATATTATTAAGTGGCAAAACGAGCTAATCCTTCTTTATATAAATAGATTCTTAATGGATCACATCCACAAATCATTACATACATTCTTAAATCAAATTTTAATCCATCTATTAATAATGGTTTATGAATATATCTTTAAGCAACATAATGTTCTTGAGGATTAATCTAATCAATAGAACGAGTTAAAAATATTCCTTTTATATTTAATTAATTGATTACCTTTCCCTTAACAAGATGCTTCTGGTTTTACAATAAATGTTTTAGCTTTTCCCTTTTGGAATTAAGCCTTAAAATCACCATATTCACTTGGTAACATCCAAGTTCTTGGATAAAAATCATATTCATCTGGATATTATTTTTGCATTTTATTGAGATTACGACCAAGATGATTTTTTCTTGCCAAAGAATACATACCTGGAAAATGATTTATTCTTTAATGAGCTTAATATTAAACATTAGAACTATACGTTGCATTTTAGAGAGTGTTTCAGGTAGTACAGCATTATCAGTCCAACAAAAGTCCCAATTATTGTTTTCAAGATAAGGAACATAAGACAATTTAAATTTGTAAATCATTTTTCCAACAAATTTAACTACAGGATACTAAGTATCTATTTAATTATGAATTGAATACCTGAAACATTCATTATTAATTTCTTGCTAGAATTTACAACTTTCTTCTTCTTCTTTTTTATTTATATTTGTTCCTCTTCACTCTCAGACTCTTATGAAACATCATCTTCATCTGCATCACTATCTTCAAAATCACCATTAAATGGCATTTCTTTATCCTATTTCATTTTATATATATACAGTTATTAAAATAATAATTATGCTTTCAGAACCTTTTGTATTACTAAAGAATTATCGATAATAATAAGATGCACCAAAAACATTGCAAAAGAAAAAATTGATTCCAATACAAAAAAAACTAATTAAAAAGACTCCAAAATCTAAACCTTCAATAATTGAAATAGATAGAAATCCCTAATAGAACCAAATTTAGATTTAATAATATATAGAACCCATAAGTCTTATATAATAATATTAAGACGATTATTTAAATTAAGATTAATATTCACCTCCACCATTCAATGAATTATAATACACTTTTCATGACTCTTATAGTGAATACATAAATCTACCTGATGAAGCATTAGGTTAATGAAATGACTAATAATCAGCTTCTAAAACAAAGCACAATGAATTAATATATTTAGATTTTATCTATTTGTTTCTTAAAATTAACAATCTTTATTCCAAATTCCTCAACACTTTACTAAAACTTTTATTATTCTACTCCTTTAAACTTTGAATTAGTGTAGAATGATATACTCATAGTAAAGATAATAGTTAATTATTGATACGAAAATGGTTTAAATGTTTATATGCTGAATGAATCTTATTATTCTTAGAAATTCTAGGAAAATTCAATTATATAATTTAAATTGATAATCAAAGCAAAGTTAATTAAAATTAATAGAATAAGTAATTAAATATTTTAAATAAAATGATTTATTCTTATTTAACAATACATTCCTCAATTTTATTATTCTTAATTCATAGTGTAATTTCTATTAATTTATCTATCATATTCAATTATATATTTGTTCATTTAAATATAAGTATATAATCATTATTATTTAATATAAAATTGTGTTATACAAATTAATAATTAGTAAAATAAGAATGTTCATTTTTATAATAATCTTTTATTTTTAGAAAAATAGATTGATAATATTTATAAATTAAAAAGTTTGTGACATCTACACATAAGTTATTAAAATTTAATGTGAAAATGATAAATTTTTATATATTAATGAAATTGTACTCTGCATAAAAGATAGAGGATGAACTAATTTATTAATGGAATTGGGTATTGATTTATGAGCATATTGAGTATTTATTAATATGATCAAGAGAATTGGTAATTTATTGAATAGTTATAAATTAAAGTGGTATTTTAAGAGATAAGTTGAATTAATAATATATAGCATAGTTATGAAAATTTGATATATAAATTAAATCTTTTTTTTTAAAAGTATTATGATCATCTAGGTGGGTCACCTTAATGGAGAGGTGAAAACATATAATTTGGCAGATTAATGCACTGCTAATGAATTAATGAATGTTTTGAACTCTGAATTAGCATGTGAAGTTCAATTGGTTTAATGTGGTGAATTAGTAAATGCATCATCAATTTTGGCTGGAGACAGAATCTATTATGTCACAGTTGATGCAGAAGGAGGAAAGAAAAAGAAGAAGAAGAAGAAGAATTTTGCAAAGCCCAAAAAGAAGAAGCATAGACACCGAAAAATTAAGTTGGCTACTCTTAAATTGTACAATGTTGACAACAAAGGAGTAGTTTAAAGATCACATAAATAATGTCCTTAATGTCCATAAGGTGTGTACATGGCTAAACACTTTGACAGACATTATTGTGGAACTTGTCACCAAACCTTTAGAATGGATGAGGCTACAGTAATTGTTTAATTTTATATTTAAGATTAAAGCCAACTTAGAAGCAATCAAAAAATAATAAGCTGCAAAAGCTGCAGCTGCTGCTGCTTCTGCCCCTGCTGGTGGTGCTGGAGATAAAGGAGCTGCTGGAGGAAAAAAGGGCAAGAAGAAGTGACATATATTTAGTATATTAATAAATAATGCAATTAAGTCCATCAAAATCAACAACATATTCAGAAGAGAATAATCTCATTCCATCTAATCCAATTGGAACTCAAATATAATTACCAATAGATCATTCTTCTCCAGAGATGCGTTTATTATGCTTTGCTTAATCAAATGATCTTGAACAATTTTCTAATTTGTTAAGATCTGGACCATTTGATCTATCTGCTATTTAGAATTAAAAAAGATTTACAGCTCTTCATTATGCTTGTTTCAATAACAGTTTTCAAATGTGTGAATTAATAATAAACCATTAAGATAGAAGAGAGAATAGTCTACAGAATATGGAGAATTTTATCAATTCTACAACTAATGATGGATTTACAGCTGTGCATTTTGCTGCTTTTAGAGGGAATGTATAAATACTGACTCTTTTAAAATTAAAAGGAGCCAACTTAAAAGCAACTAATAAATAAGGTTTGAATATTATGCATATAGGTGCATAAGGTGATCAACCTAATACTATTGTATTTGCACTAGTAAATGGAATTTAATTAACTGATTTAGATTTGAATGGAGGTTCTGCTTTACATTGGGCATGCTTTTATGGTTAAGAGCACTCAATAAATTATTTGTTGCCTTTAATAGAAAAAAAAAAACCATATTACCCATTAAATTCTCTTGATTCTCATTAATTTACACCTTTACATTTAGCTGTTTAAAGTGGAAATACAAAACTAGTTAAAAAGTTGTTAATTTATGGAGCTGATAAAACAATAAAAGGATATGGAAATAAAACACCAGCTGATTTAGCTTAAGAAAATGACTTTAAGAATATATATAATATGTTAACTAAAGAACGTGGTTTTTTAATCACATACTTTAATTTGAAATAAGGTATTAAGAGAGTTAGAAAAACTGGATTAGAATTAATGAGATTTGGTGGATTTATGATATTTCTATTACTCTCTTATTATTTATATATAGTTGATGATTTCATACCAATCATCTCTGATTATATATTATTTGGAATTACATTGTTATTCTTTATTTTTATTGTTTGTTCTAATCCTGGATATTAAATTAGAAGATAGGAACCATTATATACTTTAATAACAGCCTATGATCATTAAGATGTATGTCCTATTTGTAATGTTGTGAAATTGCCAAGGAGTAAACATTGCGATATATGTTAAAGATGTGTATTAATTTATGATCATCATTGTCCTTGGATTAATAATTGTGTAAAAAATCCAATATATACTAGGTTGGTGCAGAAAATCATCTGATTTTTATTATTTTTTTAATTTCTTTGGATACATCACTAATATATGCTCTAGTCAATACAGTTATGTAATGTTTTATTGGAAATGAGAATGAATTAGAGTTTTTTAATGAAGATTTTACATTTTGGATAATCTTAACTTTAAATATATTCATAGAACTTATTTTTGTTATTGGAATTACAGCTCTTATTGTAACATAATTTTAAAATATATTTCTTGGTTAAACTACATTTGAGAGATTTGCAGTTCAAAATTAAACATCTACTATTAAATCAGTAATGACTAATTCAAATAAGAATTCTTTAATAGATGATGATTTACTTTCTCCAAAAAAAGATAGATTTGTTTAATGTTCATGTAAGAATTTACTAAATTTCTTAACAAATGGAATCACATAAAGAAAAAAAGAATAAGCAATAAGAATTTGATGATCATTATTTTTGTATTTTTAGTCATTAATATTATTTATTATAAATTACAAGATTATAAGTTAACTCAATTTATTTCATATTTCTTGAAAAAAGGCTATGTTAAATTATAAAATCGATTATTAACTTTTGAATTACAATATAAATGTGTTGATAATCCTATTACTGCTACATAACCCACCTACATCCATTTAGAATTCTATCTAAATAATGCATAATTAGTGCTTAAAGCTATCATACATGGTAATGCAAGTGCATATGTAAAATGTAAATATTATCTAAATATATATTTAGATTATTTTTACTTTTCTTCATATATTGTATTTAAAAATATTGTATCCTCCTCACTTAAATCCTTGTGATATAATAAACGAATTAGCTTTTTTTCTTTTAATCCTAATTTAAGTAATCTATCTTTTTATACTCTAGACATTATATTCAATAATTAAATTTATATAAAAATTTATAAATAAAATCAATTTATTATTAATATATATTGTTATTAAAATTCCTAATTTATAATCTAAGGAAAATTATATTTGTAATTAACTTTTACATTACTTTAAAATCTATAATCATATATAAATAAAACATTATATTATTCTAATTTTTATGCAACTATTTATTTTTTAAAGGAACATGTGTATTCATTAATAAAATAATACAAATTGATTTTTATTATTTGAATGTATAAATTTTTGTTCTTGCAAGTTTAACAAATTAAGATGATTAATTTTGATAATTATTCAGATTAATGTTACATACAAAGATTTAATTCAAAAATTCATTTTTGTTGAGGGTCATTTATATAAATAAAAAAAATGAGTAGACAGAGGGTAAACTCCAAGTATTTAAATTATTATTACAAATAGGTCACCTACTGTAAATAAGTAGATTAGAAAACATAGTAAGGATTCAGATTCAAGTTCTTCAGAAAGAAGGTATGGAAAATTTTGGAAACCTAATGAGGATGCTCTTTTGATTGAATTACACACTAAACATAATGGCAACTGGCGTTTAATTGCAGAAGAAATCCCTGGAAGGAACTTAAGTCAATGTTAACAAAGATGGAAGCGTATAAATCCAAATAAGGTAGAATTTGAAAGGTTATATATATATAGACTAAATTACGTAAATAGTGGAGTGATGAAGAGGACAAACGTGTGATTCTTTTTGTTCAATAATATGGTCGTAATTGGAAAGTTATAGAAGGATTTATGGAAGGCAGGTCAAGTAAATAGATTAGAGAAAGATTTTTAAATAATTTGGATCCAGAGATCAATCATTAAAAATTTACACCTATGGAAGATAAAATAATTTTAGAATAGTATCGAATATATGGTCCAAAATGGAGTGAGATTGCTAAGATGTTAGATAGAAGACCAGTAATTATGTTATTATAAACATAGGAAAACTAAGTGAAGAATAGATTTTATTCGTTTATTAAGAGAGTACATATGTTAGAAGAGAAATCAGATGATGATGATAATGATGGTGATTCTTCATTTTCTGAATAACCTAACATTCCATAACCCATACCAATTTATTAACCTTTAGAAACTATTTAATCAATTAAGGAGGAACATGATAATACAAAGAATGATTCAATAAGGAATGATTCATTTATGAATATTCAAAATAGAACTCCTTCACATAGAATTCAACCATCAATTAATTTAATTTAAGGATTAGATTCTTTTGATTCAAAATAATTTGAAGGTATTCATTCTTAAGACATATCTCCTTTCCATTAAAGAAGAATCTTAATGGATTATAGTCCAATTAATTTTGAATATGCTCATCATCATCCAAATTTCGATAATGTTTAAGAAGAAGTGAAAGAATTGAGGAGTTAAATTGAATGTATTAGCTTAGAAAAGATCAATTGATATTTATTTATTTATTTATTCCTTTTAGCAGAACAATTACAAATTTTATCAGATTTTATTATAAATTTAATATCCTTTAATAAAATGAAAACTCGCGGATAGAAATCAGAACCACATTATGCATATCATTATAAAAAAGATTAAATATTAGGATAGAGTGAAAAAGGCAAACCAATTTTGTATAAAGTAGTTGAAGATATGAAAACTAATGATCATAGATCTTAAATAAGAGTAGTTAAGCTTGAAAAATAAGAATAATTGAAAGATGGCAAAGTAGTCTATAAAGAGGCTGAAGAACTTTTATTGCCTGTAAAAGAACGCACGTAAAAAAATTATATTTACATTAGAAAAATGGTTGATGATGTAGAAGTAAAATCTACTAAACCAAATCCAAAAACTAAGACATCTGTTACCTTTTTTACTTTCCCTCAGGATACTCTTTAAGAAATTGCTAAAAGTACGAAATAAATTCCCGCCAACAATAAATAATAAAAAAAATAAGTAAGTTCAGAGAGTGAAGATGAAGATTAAGAAAAAGAATAAGAATAAGAACTACCAAAAAAATACACAATCAAAAAAGGTTAAAAGTAACAAGTTGAAAATTAACAAGAAAATAAATAAGTGAAAAATAAAAAACAAAAATAATAAGATGAAAGTTAAGAAGAAAGTGAAGAAGAGAAAGAAGAAGAAGAAGAAGAAGAAGAAGAAGAGGTAGAAGTAGTAAAACAAAATAAAAAAGGATCTGTATAAAAATAAAATAAAAGTAAAACTGAAACTCTTGAAAATCATAAAGATGTATAAATTAAGAAGAAGAATGATAAAAAATAATAAAAAGATAATACTGATGAAAGTGATTAAGATGAAGATGAATCATAAGTTATTTAAGTAGCCAAAAAAAAATAAAATAAAAATTCACAAATTACTTAGTAATCTTAAAAAATTTAAGATACATCATTTATTATAAAAGAAACTAGATAAAGAGGCACAGTATAATCACAATAGGAGGATGACGATGAAGATGAAGAAGAATAATCTGTATCTTAATCATAATCATAATCATTATCATAATCATTTTCTGTTGACAGTAAACGAAAGAAAGCAGGTAAAAGTAGTTCATCTAAAAAATCAAAATCTTAAACTACTCAACCAACTAAATTTATTAAAGGAAAATTTAATCCTAATTATAGAGAATTAAGAAATATTAGTGATTAATTAGAAGGACCAAATTCTAAATTTCATGATTATACTAGCATTGTTATGAATAATAAAGAATTAATTCGTGCTGTTAAAACAGGCAATAAAAAATTATTAGAAGATATATTTGCAAATTCTTAAAAGATTAGTAGTCTATTCTAGAGATGGGGACCTGAAAATGAAATAAATGCTTTAGAACTTATATTTTTAAGATAAGACAAAGATATGCTTTTGTCATTTATTAAATCTATGGGTAATATAAAATTAGGAGTTGCTTAAAATTGTTCTTTGAAAGAAGTAAATACAGGTTACAATGACAAATATGCTTATGGAGTAAGAACTAGGAAAGTTGCTATGAGTAGAGGTGGAAGAGAAGGTAATAATGCTTTTGTTTATGACTTAAATTAAGACGATACTTTTGGTCGTTATTAAATTGAAAGATTAATGAAAATTGAAACTGATCCTGAACTCTTTGGCTTAATGATAGCACAATTAGGAAATGAACATTAATATTATGAAATGATTGCAATAGCCGTTAGATGTGGTAATTGGAGAACTGCTGGTTATCTAGTTTAATAAGCTTTGGAGAGAGGTCACATGTATGGATTTAATTAAGTACATGTTGATGTATTAAATCATACAAGTGCTAGTCGTATTGGTAATATCAAAAAAGCATCTGCAACTAAAAAGACAGTCGGCTTGTATTTGATTACACCTATTCATTGTGCAGCCATCAATCCTAATCATAGTTGTTTATAAAAATTAGTTGAAATTACATAAGAATTTAATATTTTAGATGAAATTCATAGAAAACCTGTTCATTATGCTGCTGTTTCATAAACAAATGATTGTTTAAAGTATTTATTAGAAAATGGAATTGATGCTAGAGAAGGAGATCGATTAAAAAATACTCCTTTGATGCTTGCTGCTTAATTTGGAAGAACACATAATGTTGAACTTTTAGCTTCCAATAATATTAATAGTAAAAATAAGGAGGGAAATGCAGCAATTCATTTAGCTTGTTTTGGAGGTCATTTGGAAACAGTTTAAACACTTTTATAAAATGGAGCATAAATCAACTAGCCTGGTTAATTTAGAATGACTCCTTTAATAATTGCAAGTGCTTATGGACACTATGATCTGGTTAAGTACCTAATTGATTAAGGAGCTAGAGTAGTAAGCAAAGACAAATTTGGAAGATCTTCTTGTGTAATGGCAGCTCGTAATGGAAATGTTAAGATTTTATCTCTTCTTCTCTATCATGGAGCAGAATACAATATGCCTGATTCTTCAAAAAATACTCCTCTTCATTATGCTGCTGCATATGGATTCCCTGAATGTATTGAAGAATTGATGAAGGCTGGTGCAGATTAGAATTTACCTAATTCATGGAAACTTACTCCATTATCTGTGGCTTTATAAAAAAATCATTTGGGTGTAGTAAAAATTCTTTTAAATTACCCAAGTACAGATGTAAATTGTAAGGATGATGAGGGAAGAACTTTAGTTTCTTCTAGTTTAAGTAGATTTACTTCAGATTCTTTTGAATATATAAAATACTTGATCCTTGAGAAGAATGCTAATGTGAAAATAGCTGATTTATAGGAAAAGACTCCACTTCATTATGCTGTGTAAATTTCAAGGAAGAATGTTAAGTAATATTATTTAAAATGGAATGAAATGATGAAAGCTGAAAAAAGAGATATAAAAAATAAGTATGAAAAACTCTTATCAGATTTGATAGAATTATTAATCAATGCTGGTTCAGATGTTAATATTCCTGATACTAATGGCTAGACTCCATTTGTTTAAGCATTAATGAGCCAGAATTTCAGAACAGCAGAACAATTAATGTAATTGACTACACCAAAATTTGATTATATTGATAAAAAAGATAGAAATATATTGCATAAATTAATAGAATGCAAATTATTTTTGAATCCAAAAGGAAATAATATTTTAGAGAATGTAATAAAAACAGTTGATTAATCTTATATTAATTAATATGATGAAAATGGTTGGAATCCATTGTTATATTTGATATCAGAATATACTAAGTCTGCAGAATAATAACATGATAGGATATACACAAAAAAGGTTAAAAGATTCTAAGTATAGCTATTTGAATAGAGAGTTTAAGAATTACCTCCAGAAAAAGATAATATAAATGAAGAAGAGAAACATAATGAGGAAGAAGATTAAGAAAGATATGAGAGTAAATCAATAGACTTTGATGAACCTAGTGATTAAGATCAAAGTGAAGAAGAGGATGAAGAAGAAGTAATTCATTATAAGAGAAAGAAAGCTGGATTTAAAAATCCATCACTTATCAAGTAATATAATGGAATTAAAACAGGTATTCGTACTTAAACATCACTATTTACTAATTAATATTAGAATTAATTCTAATAATAATAATAATAATAGGTAACATCAAGTGTAATAGGTTAAGATAATTATCATCAAAGAATGTTTTATTATAAAAATAAACCTATCATTGTACATTTATCTAAAGAATAAGTTGATATTTTGAAATAAGAAACTCTCTAAGATTCATTTTTATTATAAGAGATAGTTCTAAAATTATTTTAATAATTAATTAATTTTGGAGCTAATTCTAATAGTGTTGTAATAAAAAGAAAGAAATTTAGATAGCCAGATTAATCATAATAAGATAAAAAAGAGGATCCTTATATAAGTGAAGGTAATTATACAATAGCTCATTTTTTATTTAAGGCTTTTCATAGTGTTTCATTTCTCTAAGGGTTATAAAGAATTACCATTATATCATTCAAAGAAGCAACACATAATAATATATATCCAATTCATTTATTTGCTGGCACATGTAATCTATAAGCAATATGTGGAAGAGCTTAAGAAACAAGTGAAACATTCTTAAAATATGTTCTTAATCATATAGATATCAAAGTTAAGGATTTAAATTTTAATACACCTACTAGTATATTAGCATCTCGTTATTGTGATGATTTGAAATGGTTCATTGAAACCTTATTAGAAAATGGAGGTTCTATTAATAATTTAAACAAAAATAATGAAGTACCTCTTTAAAAGTGGGTTAAAGCTAATAATATTAAAATTGTTGAATTATTTTTGACTAAATATAAAGCTGATCCTAATTTTAGAGATAAATATAATAGAACTGCATTACATCATGCAATCAATACATCTAATTCTTAAGCAGATGCTAGTTTTGAAATGGAACATCTTTTAATTATGAATGGTGCTAATACAAGTTTAAAGGACTTTTTATAAAGAACTCCCCTTTTTTATGCTTTCACAAAAATTAATAAATAAAATGAATTCTCTGAAATTGATCCTTTTGAAACTGTCTCTTCTATATTAGCAGATAAGAATTGTTCTGTTAATTGTTTAGATATTTATAAAAGATCTCCTTTACATTATGCTGCCCTAAGAGGTAGTGTCATTTCTGGTAGATATATGATTAAAATGAATGCTATTGTAGATGATATTGATAAATATGGAAATACTCCTTTAGGTTTAGCTTTCATAAGTGGTCATTCTAATTTCTGTACAATGCTAATAGATAATAAAGTAAATGTAAATCGAAATGCAATAATTATTGATACTGAAAAGATTAAAGAAGAAGAGAAGAAATAAAGATAATAAAGAAGAAATTAAGGTGAAGAAATTGAAACAGAAGATGAAATGGATTCAAATCAAATAGAAAATGAATATAATACATAAGGAAATGATCTTTATTCTAATAATAGACTATAAAAGGCTTCTTAAAAAGTAGCTACAAGAAGTACTTTTGGATAAAATAATTAATTATCTTAACCAATAATATTTCCTCCTGGAACTTATTCTTATTTTAAATTAGCAATTAAACAAGGATGGCAAGGTGTTGCATATTTATTGATAAGTGATGGATATGATCTTCAAAGAGCCATAGAAGATGCAATGATGGAAGATCAATTTAAATTAGTTAGAACATTACTTTTGAAAGTCAAAGAAGATTCTGTTATTTAAAAGTATAATCAAAAACATTAAAATCTATTTCACATATTTGCAATAAAAGGAAGAAATTGTAATGAAGATATGGCAATTTTAATTGCAGAAGAATTATCAAGAAGAGGAGTTGATAGGATTTCAAATGATAATGAAATGAATACTCCATTGCATTTTGCATGTAAAAATAATTTCATTTAATTAATTAAATATTTATTACATAGAAAAAGTGATCCTAATGCCTTTAATAATGATTAAAATACTCCCTTTTCAATTAGATTGCAATTTAATTATAAGGTTTTAGCAGATCCTGTAGAATTAGGTTTATGGACTAATAGCAAGGTTAATTTTAATGTGAAATTTAAAGTTGAAAAGAAAGATTATTATTTAACACCTTTGTTATATTTAATATAAGAATATCATATAGAAAATGAGATTCTTTTGTCTAAATTTGTTGATGCAGGATGTGATATAAATGAAAAAACTGATAAAGGAGAAACCTCATTAATTCTTGCAATTAAAAATAACTCTTTGAAATTAGTTAATTTCATTCTACACCATCCTAAATTTACAAAAGAAGCACATATGTTAGATTAAAATAAAAGAACTCCCATACATCATGTAGTCTAACCATTAGAATTTGGTTCATATGAAAACACAGAAATGTTAGAAGTTTTAACAAATATATTTGATGTCAATCAAATTGATGACTAAGGAAAAACTGCTTTAGATTATGCTATTGATTAAGATTCTGGTGTTATGGCAAGAGTTTTAAAAAATCTTAAAGCAGTCTAGAATATCAAATCTAAATAGCCTAGACTACCAACTAGTGTTATATCTTAAGCTTAATGGGTTGAAGAAGAAATAGATGTTGAGGCAGATGCTTAAAGATTTTTAGACCTTAATGGAGAATAATTGGATGATTCAAAATAGGATTATAAAAATTTAGTTGATAAATATGCAAATCGAATTGGAAAACTAGAAATTTTAGTAGACAAGGATATTGGTCCATATTCATTATTAATGACAAAAGTTGATATTGGTAATGGATAATATTCAGAAAATGTGTTTTATAAAATGTAAGTTCTTCATGAAATCAATCGAAATGTTTATATTCTATTCACAAGATGGGGCAGAATTTGTACTGGAGGATAGCATCAATAAACTCCTTTTGAAAGTTCTGAAGAAGCCATTAAAGAATTTAATAAAATATTTTACACAAAAACAGGGGGAAATGATTGGAGAAAGATTAAAACAGGTGAAGAAGATTTTGTTAAACGACCTGGTAAATATTAATTAATGAATGTAAAAAAGATGAAAAATTACAAAACTTTATTAAGTCCTTTCGATTTCAGTAAAAATTCTCCTTATCCACCTTCAATATTAGATAACACTATTAAAAGATTCATATTGTAGTTTATTTAAGTAAAATTGTATTAGAAAGATTTACAATAATTCCATGTAGATATGGACTTTATGCCTATTGAAAGATTAGATAGAAAATAATTAGAAGTTGCCAAAGCTATTCTTAATGAATTAACAGACAGTGTTAAAGAACTAAAATAACTTAGATAGAATAGAGATTTAGACATTAAAAAGATATCTAATCTATCATCTGAAATAGCTGATAAATCTAGTAGATTTTATGAATTAATTCCAATCATTGAATTAAGAACTGAACCTATTCCTCCATTAGATTCAATTGAAGCAATTAATCAAAAATTATTACTTATTGAAACTTTACTCAATTTTGAAATTACTTCTAAAATTTTATTGGGAGCTCATTTGATAAAATAGTCTTTGAATCCACTTACTTATTGTTTCAATGCTTTAAATATCAGAGTCATAACTCTTAATCATGAACATCCAGAATTTAAATTAATTAAATAATATATTAATTAATCTTCAACTCCTAAAATATCTAATATATTTGCTATTGAGAGAAGAGGAGAAGCTGAAAGATTTGAAATCAATAAATAATACAATAGATTATTACTTTGGCATGGTTCCAAAATTTCCAACTTCATGGGTATTTTAGCATAAGGACTCAAAGGTAAATATAAATCACCTAATTTTTTTAGTTGCACCACCTTGGGCACTTAACACAGGAGCAATGTTTGGTAAGGGTATCTATTTTGCAGATATGTTCTAAAAATCCTTTGCATACACAGACGATTGGTCACTTCATTATAATCCTTATAATGGCCTATTTTAGTAAGGAGGATTTTGGTACAAATAATAGCAAGTAATTAAAGATGAACAAGAAGAAATTTAAAGATATAGATATATGTTACTATGTGAAGTTGCAGTAGGTAAATCTTAAGAACTGTATCAGGCAGATTATATTGAAAATTTACCAAGTATTTTAAATATATTATTTTAAGAACAATACTAATCTGTTAAGGGATGTGGAAAAAGAGGACCTGATTACAAATAATCTGTTATTTTATCGAATGGTTGTAAAGTTCCTGTTGGATAATGCATTGAATATCCAGATCCTAAAAAGAAAGATAAGGAGGGTAATCCTATTTAATACTGTTTACAACACAATGAATATATAGTATATGATGAAACCAAGGTTAAATTTAGATATATGGTTTAATTGGATACCAAAAATACAATTGATGAATTTTGAATTTTGAATTTTCTAATATCTTATCATTAATTTGCAAAAATTTATAAATTCTACAAAAATAAGAAAGAAAGTTGATTGAAGATTGATGGAATAGATCGATAAGTTTACTTTTTTTATTTAGATCAATAAATAAAAAAAGTTTGTTCATATTCAGATTCTCCTATTTGGAATTAATGCTTTCAAAATGCCATCTTGTTCTTTTCTTTATTTTTTGCTCACCTTTTAAGTTAATTGAAGCAATGAAGGATCAGCGTTATCTAAAATTAAAATTTATAATTACCTGGTTCATATTTCAAGCAGAAGCAAACTTTCTTAGCGTTAGGACTATCAGAAGGTGATCCTCCATGAGCCAATTGACTCAAATATTATCCTAAAGCACACATAATGTCAGCAGCATTCGTTGCAGTAATTTCAACAGTTTCTTAACATCTATTGATATATCTAATGTAAATTACTTTTCTTCTTATTCCTCTGGTTAATCTGCAGTTTCTTCGGTGTCTTCTTCTGGGATTTCATCACCTTCTTCTCCACCTTCTTCTCCACTTTCTTCTCCAACCTCTTCACTTCCTTCTTCTGCTCCTTCTTCACCTTCTGGTAAATCAGGTAGTGTAGATGTTCCATTTTTACCTTTTGGAATATCTCCGGGTACCCATCCTTCTTCTTCTTCACCAGCTTCTTCTCCATCCTCACCTTCTGGAGTACCTTCTTCTCCTTCTTGAGTACCTTCTTCTCCTTCTGGAGTACCTTCTTCTCCTTCTTCTCCTTCTTCTCTTCTTGCAGGTCTAGATGCGCGACTTCTAGGTTTTTCAGGTTCTTCACCTCCTTCCTCACCTTATTCTTCAGCACCTTCCTCACCCTCAGGTAAATCAGGAAGTGTAGAAGTTCCATTCTTATTTGATGGGATATCTCCTGGGAATTCACTTTCTTCTTCTTCTCCTTCAGGTAAGCCTTCTTCTCCAGGAACTAATTATTCTTATTCTTCCTCACTTGCTTCTTCTCCAGCTGGAGTTCCTTCCTCTTCACCTGCAGGGGTGCCTTCTTCAGTTGCAGCCCCTTCTTCCTCTGATTATGGTCCATCTTCAGGGCTAAACTCTTCCTCTGGTAAGAATCCTTCTTCTTCTCCATCATCTGGAATATCTCCTGGTCCTTTTGTATTATTTTTTTCACCCCCTTCAAATGATTCTTCTTCTTCTTCAGCTGGTTCATAAAGTTCTTCTTCAGCTGATGGTGTTGTTGTCTCTCCTTCTTCTTCTGCATCAGGTCCAGGTGGAGTAGTTTCTCCTTCTTCTTCAGCATCAGGTCCTGGTGGTGTAGTCTCTCCTTCTTCTTCAGCATCGGGTCCTGGTGGAGTTGTTTCTCCTTCTTCTTCTGCATCAGGTCCTGGTGGTGTAGTTTCTCCTTCTTCTTCAGCATCAGGTCCAGGTGGAGTTGTTTCTCCTTCTTCTTCTGCATCAGGTCCTGGTGGAGTTGTTTCTCCTTCTTCTTCTGCATCAGGTCCTGGTGGTGTAGTCTCACCTTCTTCTTCAGCATCTGGTCCAGGTGGTGTTGGTTCACCTTCTTCTTCAGCATCTGGTCCTGGGGGAGTAGTTTCTCCTTCTTCAGTTGTTGTCTCTTCATCTGTGGTTTCTTCATCTGTTGTTTCTTCTTCTTTTTCAGGATCTGGTACTGGGTCGTCTGTTGGAGTATCTGGAGTAGTTGGATCTGTAGGTTTAGTTGGTGTTTCTGGTTTATCACATTTTTCATCAGATCCTCCCATGGGGATATCAATAGTTTGTCCTCCTCCACATCCTCCTTAGATGATATGTAATTCTTTGATTTATCCTTTGATTTTAATGACAGTGACTGGATTTTAATGGCATTANCTCCACTTTCTTCTCCAACCTCTTCACTTCCTTCTTCTGCTCCTTCTTCACCTTCTGGTAAATCAGGTAGTGTAGATGTTCCATTTTTACCTTTTGGAATATCTCCGGGTACCCATCCTTCTTCTTCTTCACCAGCTTCTTCTCCATCCTCACCTTCTGGAGTACCTTCTTCTCCTTCTTGAGTACCTTCTTCTCCTTCTGGAGTACCTTCTTCTCCTTCTTCTCCTTCTTCTCTTCTTGCAGGTCTAGATGCGCGACTTCTAGGTTTTTCAGGTTCTTCACCTCCTTCCTCACCTTATTCTTCAGCACCTTCCTCACCCTCAGGTAAATCAGGAAGTGTAGAAGTTCCATTCTTATTTGATGGGATATCTCCTGGGAATTCACTTTCTTCTTCTTCTCCTTCAGGTAAGCCTTCTTCTCCAGGAACTAATTATTCTTATTCTTCCTCACTTGCTTCTTCTCCAGCTGGAGTTCCTTCCTCTTCACCTGCAGGGGTGCCTTCTTCAGTTGCAGCCCCTTCTTCCTCTGATTATGGTCCATCTTCAGGGCTAAACTCTTCCTCTGGTAAGAATCCTTCTTCTTCTCCATCATCTGGAATATCTCCTGGTCCTTTTGTATTATTTTTTTCACCCCCTTCAAATGATTCTTCTTCTTCTTCAGCTGGTTCATAAAGTTCTTCTTCAGCTGATGGTGTTGTTGTCTCTCCTTCTTCTTCTGCATCAGGTCCAGGTGGAGTAGTTTCTCCTTCTTCTTCAGCATCAGGTCCTGGTGGTGTAGTCTCTCCTTCTTCTTCAGCATCGGGTCCTGGTGGAGTTGTTTCTCCTTCTTCTTCTGCATCAGGTCCTGGTGGTGTAGTTTCTCCTTCTTCTTCAGCATCAGGTCCAGGTGGAGTTGTTTCTCCTTCTTCTTCTGCATCAGGTCCTGGTGGAGTTGTTTCTCCTTCTTCTTCTGCATCAGGTCCTGGTGGTGTAGTCTCACCTTCTTCTTCAGCATCTGGTCCAGGTGGTGTTGGTTCACCTTCTTCTTCAGCATCTGGTCCTGGGGGAGTAGTTTCTCCTTCTTCAGTTGTTGTCTCTTCATCTGTGGTTTCTTCATCTGTTGTTTCTTCTTCTTTTTCAGGATCTGGTACTGGGTCGTCTGTTGGAGTATCTGGAGTAGTTGGATCTGTAGGTTTAGTTGGTGTTTCTGGTTTATCACATTTTTCATCAGATCCTCCCATGGGGATATCAATAGTTTGTCCTCCTCCACATCCTCCTTAGATGATATGTAATTCTTTGATTTATCCTTTGATTTTAATGACAGTGACTGGATTTTAATGGCATTATTAATTAATGCTAGATAATTATCTAATGAGGAAGGTAGCTAATTTGAGAAGAGCATCGCAACATTCACTTCTTTCTGATTCATTATCACTGCTTAATCTCTCTAATTGTCTTTCAATTTCATCGCAATGAGCTTATCCAATTTTGCTTGCTGTTTATGGAAGAACTAAAGACTTGATTTTCTTTGTAACAACCTAATTTATTTATTTCAATTATTAGGGAGCAATTTCTAGGAATATGATAAAGTAATTTACTCTTCTTTTATGTTTATTTCTTAACTTAAAGCAAGATCACTTCTAATTGTTTTAAAGTATTGATATCTTTTTAAATGTCATCCTTGTGATCGATGATGTCGGCCCATGACTCGAGATTTTATTCCAATTACACAAACTATTGCTAAGATGTGTTTTAACAATTAACATCCCCTAAATTGAGGTTGTTGATCTCATTTAATGACATCGACAAGAGTGTGCCCTCAGCTTCGAAAGCTTGAAATATATATTGAAGATGTACCTTAGGTCAGTGTCAATGCACAGACTAACAAGACTATGAACTTGACTTAAACCATTATTAATAATGAAATCGTTTTAGTCCTTTATTTTTTTTAGACACAGAAACGGATAGTGTTCTGAATAAAATTTCGAAAACAATTTAATAATAGCTTCTACTATCTTGATCAATATTTGGTAGAATAATAGTCACTCTTAATTCTATGAGTCTTAAAGAAAGAGTAAAGATGTAAATATTGTTAAGAGTGAATGAATTTATAACAAAACTCGTAGAATTTGCAATAGAAATTAAATGAGAATTCACACTTAATTGTTTAGTCATATTAATATAGAAGAACTAAATTTTATAGAAGAGTAATATTGATCATTTTTTGTAACTATTCTAAATTATAATAAAGACATGCTTTTGAAAGAATCCTAGCATATTATTCTTTATTTGAAATGATTAGGTCTTCAGCTTTTGGATTCTAATATATTTGCAAATTTAAAATATTTCAAACACATATTTAGTCAATCATGATTATTTAATTTTTTATTTTTCTGTTGACGTGTCTGAAAGTTTTGTTCCATTTTCTTAAATATTATTTTTATCATCTTTTTTAGGTGAAGCCTTAATCAATCCAATTTTTATTAGATAAGGTTTAATAAAATCAAATAGCATAACTAATATTCCTGCTAAAGGTAAGAGCAAACAAGGAATGCAAACCATTAATAATTATTTAATTTAATAGTAATATTAAATAATTTACTTTTGTTATAAGTACATTATTTAAAGAAATAAAAGTTGGTTTCAAATTAGTAATATATAATTCATTTATATATATTATATTTTAACTTATTCCTATATTATTTTTTAAAGAATCTAATTAAATTATAATAAATTGATATAAGACTAGTAATAGATTAATCTAAGATTTTTTATTATATTAATCTGATTATCTCATTCATTTTAAATATTACAAAAAAGATAAGAGTCATTTAATATTAATTTAATTTAAATAATTTATTTATTTGATTTATTTTATCTTATAATCTTTTTTTAAGTCATTTGAATCAATAATTATTATTATAAAACAAAATTATTTTATAAATTAAAGTATTAATAGAATATCCTATTAGTAAATACAAATTATATATTTAAAAGAATCTTAATATTTATTAAAATAACAAAGTTTATTTTATAATTCTTACTTCAATTCAATTCATCATAAATCGTAATAAAGGTATGATTAAATCTTATTACAAATTAAAAGTTGCATGTGTCATATGATATGGGGTTGTCAATTTGCATTTACATTTACAAAGTCTCTATAATTTTAATGCATGACTTAATGGTATCATGTTATCAGATTGACCATGTAAAATATATATTGGACATTAAACTTCAGAGATATGTTTATAATTTGGAAATCTTTCTTTTATTAGGACACTAACAAATTTCCCCAATTTATGTTCTACTAATTATTAGATAGATAAAAATGGGGAAATAAGAATCAACATGAATGGTTTATATTTACTAGCAATATAACAAGCAGGCCTAAAATAAATTAATTAAAATCACCCACTTCCAATCGATCTTCCGCATATCATAATATTTGATTCTTCTATTTTTTTGGTATTTATCAAATAATTCATAATGTGATCAGCATCTTCTAATATAGTTTATTCATTTGAATCACCTTTGTAAATACCATAACCTGGATATTCAACACCCAAAATATTTAATTTCAATGAATTTCCAATTCGCCACATAAGTTCATAAGCTTAATATAAATCTTCACCATTTGAATGAAAATAAACAAGAGTTTATTTAGATTGATTATTAATATAAGCACAAGGGATTTTTTTAATAATTTCACATTCTTCTTCATCTTATTATGTAATTTATTTTAAATGCCTTATTGGTAATTTATTACATCTAGGATGTTATATTTTTTCATTTGGAGTTGATGTCAAACAAACATTGGCTAATGATTCATATAATCTATTTTAATGTTTTTTTGATAAGAGAGTTTTAACATTATTAGACTTATATTTGTTTAATAATCTTGGAGGAGATTTATGTACAATAATATTTTCATCTACATCTTAATCATAATTGGATTCCTCAAAATAAAAGTCTTATTGTGTACTAGGTCTTTTAGATTGATTGGCAGATTAAACACCTAGTTGTTTAATTTATTTTGATTTATAGACAGGAACCCAAATAAGTTCTTTGAAATTCTTTTCAGTGTATTCACATTTAGGAGCAGGAAATATAAAGGAATTGACTTCCATTTTTAGCAGTTAATTAATAAAGTTAATTTAACAAAAACATCAACATTTACTATATTAAAATATATAAATAGAAAATAAAATAATGAATCATTTTAACATATATATATGAATAATTTGCAATTAAAAAATCACAATAAGAGAAATTATTTGATTATGAAACTCATTTATATATAAATTTTATATACTCAAAGTATTATTATAAATTTTATGGAATATGTATTGTATTCTTAATAATACCAAAGCTAATTAATAGAATAAGTACTATTAATATAATATACAATAGGTTCATCAATAAACTTAATGTGATCTTACTATATAAATTAATTGTATAATAATTTACAGAAGAGTGTAAATCAAAGAGATTATCAAAGCAATAGCCATCATAAATGAACTTAAAATTAAAGGTCTAATCCATTTTGGAGGCAACTCTTTGATCATTGGAATAATAGACTTTTTCACTTCATTCATAATTGGTATAATTGAAAGACTTCTCAAAATTCTGATACCTACTAATGGACATTGACTTTCATATTCAGAATCTAAACATACGACCATTATACTGATCATAAATAGACTAAGAAGGCCTAAATAAATTATTAATGTATTTTGTAAAATTGTAATCATTATTATTAAAATTAAATATTATGTTTTTAAAATATAAAGAAATTCAATTAATAATAAGTATTATTTGTTAATTCATGATTAAATTAATATATGAAAACAATTGCTAATAAATTTTCAGTATAATTTAATATTTCAACAAAATAATCAAGTTAATAAATATATGATTAAATTTTTCTATTTGATTGAAATAAAATTAATTTCATTTTTTATTAAATATATACAGTCTTAAACAATATATATCCTAAATAAAATATATCATATCCTTTAAATTTCTTATGATTATTTATATTTATAATTATCTAATCTATGAAAACTTTACTCTGATGTAATCTTGTAAAAGAATAAGTGAGATAAATTAATGCTATTTCTATTATCTTATATCACAATTTGCTTTTAAATATATATTATATAAATAGTATATATTTTAATATCTCATAATATATCTTTTTTAATTTTTTAGTTTAAAATTGAATCTATATTTGATTGATAAGTATAGCATTGACTTTGTTAAAAAAGGAAAAATCATATTTTATTTGTTTAGGATTAGTTCAATTTATATTTGTTTAACCAATTCTTAATAACATGAATTACAACACTTAATATTAAATTATATCAGTAACAATAACATTATTAATATTTGAAGTAATGCTTTAATGGTGAAAAAGGTTTTGAAAGTAAAATGAAATTTTTTTTTGTTTTTGCATTATAAAATTAAAACTACTCATTTTTATGAAGGAGGAGAATATTCGTATGAGCCCTAGATTTATACAAACTATGATGTTATTTAAGGATTATTTATCAAGTAACATATAATTTGAATGTAATAGAGGAAAAGCTTTCTCCAAAACAAACAGATCCAAATCTAGTCAAGATTTTTGGTAAATAAAATGCTGATAGAGAATATATCACAAATCCAGCACATAAGCCCTAGTATATAAAATTAAAGATGAGAAAAAATAGTGATGAAAAAGTCTTAAAATAAATAGATAATGAATTTTAAAAGTAAGTTGCCCTTAAATAAAAATTAAAGATCTTTGATTCTGATTAAATGAATTAAATTCGAAATTCATTACATGATTAAATTGTACATTCAAATAGAGAATCATTTTCTTAAATTATTGATCATAAATTTTCAACAAATTTAACACCAGAACATTGTTAAATAATTAAAACTTTAAGGTAAGAACTTACATTTAAAGAGAAATTAAAACTTAAGGAACCTATAGAATTTGCAAAATCAGTTCTAACAGAAAGAATTTAGAGATAATTGATATATAAAAAATAAGTATAACATGATCAAAAATTCTTCAAAGAATAAAATCATAAAATATCAGTTCTAAATTTAGAAAAATTAAATGTAAAATCTCATGATGGACTTGATATAAGTAGAAGAAGTATTTCACATAAAGATTTTGTTAAATCAATAAATGATTTATGTTTAACAGAAAGACAAACCTATAGAAAAATGTTAAAAAAGTTTAATTTTGTTTAAAGAAAATTTTGTAATAAATATAATGGAATCCTAGATGAGGTATAAACTTATTTATGATTATTCAAAATACTTATATTTTTCTAATAATAATTAATTTAATAATATATATTAAGAATCAATTTATTAATAAATAAGGCGATAATAAGTATATTTATAATTCTCATTATCATTTATTTGGCTGATTAAATATGATCAATTTAATTTAATTTTCATTAAATTTATTAGAGAAACTTAATTATATTCTGTATGATACTTGTATTTAATAGTATTTTTATTTCTAGAAGAAAGATATTAATTGTTTATTAACCAAATCCTTCTTAAAAATGATAAGAATTTATATTAAGGTTCAATATAACTCTGTATTAATAAAAGAATAGAAAATAAGAAGAATATATTAAAAAAACTAATTGATTTTTTTATTTTATTTGATAAGATGTATTTTAGGATTATTATATTTTTTTTATTTTATAAAATTTATAAAAAATAAAGATGAAAGNATTATTTATCAAGTAACATATAATTTGAATGTAATAGAGGAAAAGCTTTCTCCAAAACAAACAGATCCAAATCTAGTCAAGATTTTTGGTAAATAAAATGCTGATAGAGAATATATCACAAATCCAGCACATAAGCCCTAGTATATAAAATTAAAGATGAGAAAAAATAGTGATGAAAAAGTCTTAAAATAAATAGATAATGAATTTTAAAAGTAAGTTGCCCTTAAATAAAAATTAAAGATCTTTGATTCTGATTAAATGAATTAAATTCGAAATTCATTACATGATTAAATTGTACATTCAAATAGAGAATCATTTTCTTAAATTATTGATCATAAATTTTCAACAAATTTAACACCAGAACATTGTTAAATAATTAAAACTTTAAGGTAAGAACTTACATTTAAAGAGAAATTAAAACTTAAGGAACCTATAGAATTTGCAAAATCAGTTCTAACAGAAAGAATTTAGAGATAATTGATATATAAAAAATAAGTATAACATGATCAAAAATTCTTCAAAGAATAAAATCATAAAATATCAGTTCTAAATTTAGAAAAATTAAATGTAAAATCTCATGATGGACTTGATATAAGTAGAAGAAGTATTTCACATAAAGATTTTGTTAAATCAATAAATGATTTATGTTTAACAGAAAGACAAACCTATAGAAAAATGTTAAAAAAGTTTAATTTTGTTTAAAGAAAATTTTGTAATAAATATAATGGAATCCTAGATGAGGTATAAACTTATTTATGATTATTCAAAATACTTATATTTTTCTAATAATAATTAATTTAATAATATATATTAAGAATCAATTTATTAATAAATAAGGCGATAATAAGTATATTTATAATTCTCATTATCATTTATTTGGCTGATTAAATATGATCAATTTAATTTAATTTTCATTAAATTTATTAGAGAAACTTAATTATATTCTGTATGATACTTGTATTTAATAGTATTTTTATTTCTAGAAGAAAGATATTAATTGTTTATTAACCAAATCCTTCTTAAAAATGATAAGAATTTATATTAAGGTTCAATATAACTCTGTATTAATAAAAGAATAGAAAATAAGAAGAATATATTAAAAAAACTAATTGATTTTTTTATTTTATTTGATAAGATGTATTTTAGGATTATTATATTTTTTTTATTTTATAAAATTTATAAAAAATAAAGATGAAAGGGCTTGAATATCCATACTTTGTATATAAACCTGTTTTAAATTAATTTATAACTGATGATGAAATTAATGAACTACTACAGAAGCTGAACATTAAAAAATATGCTACTTTAGAGAGACTTCAATATTCATTGTTTATATAATTTGAATTTGATGGAGATAAATTTATTAGTCTATCAGATCTTATAAACTATACTGTAATTTGATTAATCAATATTATTTAGAGATAAAATAAAAATAATGATTTTATTCATTAAGATTATGCAATTATAATTATAAATTCAATTTTAACAGAATTCTAAAATAATTATTGCAAATATACATAAGATGTTAATTTCGATCTTAATGAAATATGGATTGGTAATGAATTCAAATCTGAAAAATAAGTTGAAGTAATATTTACTTAATTTAATTTCAAATAACAATAAGAATAAAAATAAAATACTAACCCTAATATTCAATTATTATAAGAAACAATTCAAGAACTTTTAACATTATGTTAAACTAATTCCTAAAAACCAATGGAAATTTAGGAATAATTACTAAAATGTAATAACATTAATGATATCTAAAATATAATAAAAAAGAATTTGGCACATTGTTAAAAATTACAGATATAGCAAAATAAAGCTTATGTCTAATAGCATGTAGACAATATTTTAAATTAAACAAATGAAATATAAGAATCAATGAATTAACAAAATTATAGAGTATTAAGGGGTAATTTAATCAATTGGATAATCAAGAGCAATACAAGATTTAATGACAATGTTACTATTAAAGATATATTTCTAAAATTAAATTTAGAGGCATCTTATAAACTTTTTACTTAATGGTCAGATGTAAACTAGATTTTTAGTATATTAAAAGAAAATTAGATTTTGAACTAACTTTAAAGTTTATAAGTTATAAACAACTTTATCTTCTCTTTGGCATTTCCAACATATCATCTGAAAAATGAACTTCAATCTTCATAATTTTACTAGTAAAACACCATATAATGGATTGAATAAGTGGAAAATCTAATTGTTACTTGGATTGAGCGATATATAGCAAATATCCTTTCATTTTATAAAGGAGATAAAGAAGATTGGATAAAATTAGATTTTAAATGTATTTTTAACTAAGTAAGATAAAGCTTTGATTTGATGTTATCAGAATATAATAATGTCGATATAATTAAGTAAAGTGAATTAGTAGAAGAAACTACTTTAAAAATTATCGAGCAATATTACAAGAAAAAGGTTGAAGTATTAAATCAAGAAATATTAAGATTAATAATAAAAACAAATTTGAATTGATAATTAAAATAAATAAATTAAATTTATAGATTATAAAATCAATTGCTTTTTTTTAGAATTTTAATACATATTGGAATGATTCTCTCAGAATTTAAATAAATTATTTATCATTAATTTATTATTACATATTTAAAAGAAGTTATTTTTATAAAATGTAATAAAAAGGAAATTTATTAATTATTATTCCAAATAAATTTTATATAATAATTCAACATCAATAGATATTTATTATAAAGTACAATAGTATTGTTTTTTGTTTCAAATAAAACTGGAACTTTGTCTATTTATTATAATTTAAGATCATAAAACTTCAAGTCTTTTGTTATGACAACTTTTTTAGATTACAACCAATCACAATAATTTGAATATTCATTATATTATAAAAACTCAAAAGTAATTAAAGAAAAATATATAAAATTATCATTTTCTTTAAACGAAAGTATTTTCTAAAATTTAGATCAATATAGTTATTAGGTGATATATAAAATATTATAATGAAATTTATTATTGTTTTTATAATATAATATAAGTTTTATTTAATTTAATTTTTTATGTTTAATTTATAAAATTTTAATCAATAATTTAATTTATTAAAATAATTAAAAATTTATATATTTGAGAATGAATTATATTATATTATTGTATAGTTATGCATTAATTAGTATAAACATAATATCAAAATCACTGAGATGTGAACATTCTGAGTAATAATTCCATAAATATTAATATACTTACTTTAGTACTGACATTTAAACAAGTAATTTTTCTAATAATATAAATTTAATATTATACTTTCTAATTACTATTAAGAGAATAGATATTAATAGTCTGATTTTAGATCTATATTGTTAGACAATAACTCCATGATTATATTCTTTTAAGTAATTCATTTTAACATCTTTTTTTATCATATTTTAACACCATTATGTAATAAGTGTCTTCATTTTTGGCCATTCAGAATCATTATGCATTTCATGAAAACCTTATTCAAATATTTTAATTGTTTTTTCTTTAGATTAAATTTACAAATAGAAATCTACTGAATCTAAATGTGAAGCAACTTTGTCTTGTTTACCATGTAATATCAAGATTGGAATTTTAAATTAATTTGCATTAGGTAAAATGTATTATTAAAATAACAACACATTCAATGCAAATTGAACACTCATATAAGGATGTATTAAACGATCTGTTGCTAATTTTCTTATATGATGATTATTTTTAGATGCAAAGGATAAATTATGATACGTATTAACCTATAAATCTGGACATATTTTAGCCATCATTTGTAATGTGAACATTTTCATTTTACCATATCTTGGAGGCACTCTAAATTGAGCACTACTACATATAAGTCCTTATATTTCAAATTATGGATTCATTAAGCAAAAACTGATTACAATTGCTGCCCCTAATGCATGACAAAATATGAATAAAGGGACTGATTTGTCAATTTAATCTAATACAGTTTCTAAATCCATATGCATCTCTTATATAGTTGCTTTACTTCTTATTCCACCTGAAAATCCAAAACCTCTTTAATCATAAAGATGAACTTTAAAATTATTGAGTAAAAAACAATCTGTCAACTAAAAATTGATCAATAATTAGTATTACTTGTTTGTAATTACCAGAATGCTCTCCAAATCCATGTACAATAATGACTTAAGCATCAACAAATTAAGGAGTGAATTCTTGATAATATAATTGTATTCCATGTGTTCTAGTATTTATATACTTTCTTGTAACCTTAAATATACTAATAATTGATTACTTTAGAAGTTTATTGAACACCTAAAAAAAAAGTATTTAATTCCTTCTTAACTTTTTAACTGTCTGATTATATATCAGTACTTTCTGTCCTTTTTGGTGAATCCATTGATCTATCTTCGTTATTTAACATGCTCATTATATTATTATTTTTTTCATACTTAGAGCTAAATGTGAGTGATTAAGTTATGAGGTATTAAGATTGATTATGACGCAAGATTTCAGAAAGATAATATAAATTTTTATATAAAATATACAAACAATCAAAGATGTCTTTACTTTTATCATTCTATCAATGTATAAAACTTTCAAGGAACCAATATCTAATTTGTTATAAAAATTATTTATATTTGACATTGAATTATAATATAAATTTAAATATTTTCTCTTATCTAAAATAATTGTTCTAATCTCTAAGAATTAATTTATGAGTATATTTATCATAATTATGATTCAACAATTCTATCTTAATTTTTACAAAGATCTCTTTAACTTTGATGATTTGGTGTTCCATCAAATTAAACTGTTTAAGGTGAATGTTCTCCTTATGGAGAATTGTCTAAGTCTAATCTACATGTAGTTCTATATGGAGTTGGAACAAAATGTATATATAGAGCACCTCTATCACTTTATTATTATTCACCTTCTTTTAATTCAATTTTCTCATTAATTTCTAAATTTAACTTAGGTAATTAAGTTTTGCATTCTAATAATTTTTAAATATCTTGTTCTTGTAGACTTTATCTACAAACTGGACAATTTGCTTATTTAATAGTCCTAAATAGATAAATTAAATACCAATCTGATAAACATTAATCATGAAAATTATGTTTGCATGGTGTTTATCTGTATTTCTCTTAAATTTCAAATTGTATCAAACATACTGCACAAGTTTCATGTATCATTTTTGAATCTATTTTTTAAATTACCATATATTTTTTCAAAGTCTTTCTATCAAGTGCAGGTTTAATTTAAGTTAATTTTTTATATTATCTTTTATAACTTATATATATTAGGAGTGCCACAAGGATACCAAATAGAAAGATTGATGATAAAAGTATGGTTGCCCAATAAGGAAATTCATGAATATCCTCTAAAGATCTAATATAATAATAATTATTAAATACATAAATGAAATTGTTATTTCTTAAATTTGTGTTGAATTAAAATTGAATAATCCAAATATAAATATATAATCTGAGATATCTGTCTCTCTTGTCAAACTAATAGATTTTTCCTTTTAACTCTATTCAAGTATTTCAAAATTTGTAAAGAATGTAGGTAATATTGTAATATTAAGTTTGTCTGCTGGTATAGAGGATATTCCAAACAATGTTTCTTAGTTTTGAATTAGAATCTTATTATTATTATTAAATTAGTCATACATCATAATCTTTATTATCAAGTATTACATAAGCATAGAACCATGAATTATTAAGTACATTAATAGTGATTTAATAATCAGTTTATATTTTTTACATTTGAAGTGAACAATCCTATCCATAGTAAGGAAAGTGACAAGATTTCTATTATTTTATTACCTATATATAATATTATAAAATAAATTAATACTGCTTCATTTATAGTTAAATTAAAATGCATTGTTTTGTTGAAATCTTTAATGTTTGTAAAATGATCCAAAACATGACAACTTATTTCTATAACAATATTTTCAGTTTATTAAATGAAGATAGATTAGATATTAGATCTGATAGAGTATGATTATGAATCAAAATAATTTTGGGAAGCAATTTAAACTTTCATCAAAGGTAAGCAATATGTGTCTACTGGAAATTATGTAATGATCATCTATATTAAATAAGTCTTTTAAGCATCAAGATTATTATGCTCTATTTTTAATTAATCAGTAACATATTAGGTATTATAGTTTGCTAAAACTGTTGTGATGCATATTAAAAAATACATAAAATTTAATGTATAAACATTTATTGAAATTGCGCTATGCTTATCAACCAAGTATTAAATTTACTCATGCCCATCCTTCATCCTAATATACTCCAATATAAATGACAGTCAGAGAAGCAATTAACCTTGCAATGGATGAAGAATTAGCTCATGATCCTAATGTATTTTTACTTGGTATATGATTTTATATTTATATATATATCAGGAGAGGAAGTAGGACAATATTAGGGTGCTTACAAAGTATCTAAAGGATTGTTCTAAAAATATGGAGGTGATCGAGTTATTGATACTCCAATTACTGAAGCAGGATTTACAGGTATAGCTGTAGGAGCAGCACTTTATGGATTGAAACCTATTGTTGAGTTTATGACATGGAATTTTGCAATGCAAGCTATTGATCATATAATAAACTCTGCTGCTAAAGCACATTATATGAGTGCTGGTGATTAGAAGGCATCAATTGTCTTTAGAGGAATCAATGGGTAAGATCAAAAATTTATAAGCCTTTAGTGCTACGGCTTATGTTGCAGCTTAACATTCTTAATGTTTTGCTTCATGGTATAGTAATGTACCCGGATTGGTTGTGTTAGCTCCATATGATTGTGATGATGCTAAATCACTTCTCAAAGCAGCTGTAAGGAATCCAAATCCTGTAGTATTCTTAGAGAATGAAATCTTGTATAGTGAATCATTTGAACTATCAGCAGAAGCTAGAGATCCTAATTATTTAGCACCAATAGGAAAAGCTAAGATTATGAGATAAGGAGATCACGTCACAATAGTTGCATTTTCAAAAATGGTTTAATATTCTCTTAGAGCAGCTGAATAATTGTTTAGAGAAGGAATTAATTGTGAAGTTATTAATTTAAGAAGTTTAAGACCATTAGATAGAGAAACAATTCTAGAAAGTGTTAAAAAAACTGGTCGTGTAGTATGTGTAGAAGAGGGATGGCCATAATCTGGTATATCAGCTGAAATTACTGCTCTTATTATGGAAGGAGGAGCATTTAAATATTTAGATGCACCTATTTAAAGAGTGACTGGTGTTGAGATACCAACTCCATATGCTTTTAATTTAGAAGCTATGTCATTTCCTAAAACTGAATAAATTGTTGATGCAGTATTAAATGTCTTAAAAGGTGCTCGTTGATTTATTATTAGATGTAATGATCAATATAAATTAACAGATATGGTTTTATTTAGTTCATTAATAGTTTTTAGAGAATATAAAAATAAATATTATTTTTATTTATAGTTATAGTTATCTAATTTAAAAATAGGAATTGTTAGATTGTATAATATATAATTTCTATATAAATGTATTATATTGAATATGAAATTCAATCTTAATATTATTTATGAGATTCCATTAATAAATCTAATTAATTATGAAATAAATTGTTTAATCATTAAGTTTAAGAATATTCTTATTTTTTTATTTTGAATTTAAGACTTATAATCTGCTATTTTTCTATCTAATAATAAATGTAAAAAATAGTTCTTATTTTTGCTATCATCACATTAAGCTTAGCTATTGATGTAGTTGATGATTACGACATAGAATCTTATTTGGGAGATTGGTTTGAGGTAGCTAGTAGTCCTTGGGTTCATACAACATTCGAGAAAAATGGATTCTGTAATAGAGCTAGATATGGTGTCTTGGCAAGTGGAGATCTAAGTGTTTATAATGTCTAAAGAGATGGGGCTGGTGATGGACCAATAAAATCTATTGATGGATATGCTAGAATTCCAGATATGAAATATAAAGCTAAACTTAAGGTTTTTCTTAATGGAGGTTAAGTAGGAGGAGGAGATTATTGGATTATTGAATTAGGACCAGTAATTAATAAGAAATATTAATGGGTAATCGTAAGTGAACCTGAAATGCTATTTATGTGGGTATTAACTAGAGATCCTTAAAAATACAGAGAAGAATATGAAGATTATGTAAAAGATCGTGTCAATGCTTTGGGTTTCAATGGAGTTTTGAATAAGTATGTTCCTAGATTTTTCGATAAATGTGTTCCATATGATGATTGAATCAGCTGATATCTATAGATATATGTATTATTTATTTTTATCAATATCTTCTTGGAGCTGTAATAATCTCATAAAATTCTTCAAATGAGATTTATTCAGGACTCTCTGTTTTTCTAAGGATATGAATATGATGGATCATTTCATGCAATTCATCATCATTTAAAGTTTCTCCTAGTTCTTTAGCAACACGTTTTAAATTTGTAAAATCAATGAATCTAATCTTATAATTAAAATAATAACCCAGTATCTTCAGGATCATAAATTTAGAATAATTTCTATGCTCCTTCTCTTGTTTTATTATTTCCTAATCTGTTTGAAATAATATCGACAAATGTATCAAAATTAATTGAACCTCCAAAACTAGCATTGATATATGATGATTATTACTTTTCTAAGTCTTGTACCATTTGATATACAAATTTATTTCTTGCATCAACACCTAAGTCTTCAAGTACTTTCTTTATTTCATGAGCATCTATTGTACCACTCTTATCATCATCAAATAAATCAAAAGTTTCCTTATAATCTTTTACCATATAATTACTTTCAAATCATTAATTTCTTCTGGAGTCAAATAATTTTCTTTAAGTTTTGAGGGTTTAGCTGATGGTGCACCTTTCTATTATTTATTTTAAGCAGGTGGTTACTCAACTTATTTATTTGCTCTAGACATATCTATTAAATAATTTTATTTATATATATTCATTCTTTACAATCAAGCCAATATATGATCCAAAATCTTCAGCAAATTAAATTCGATTCCTCATATCATATTTTGGTTCATGGATTTCTAATAGATTTCATCCTCAATTTTAAAGAATAATATTGAAATTTGAAGTATTTCAAAGAAATGATGGTATCAATTATTAACTATTCATCAAATGAATTTAAATAAATACTCATAAATTTGTTATTGTATTTTTAAATATATGGATTTTATTATACTAGAAGAATTATAGTGTTGAATAATATTAATGTAAACATCATTTTAATAAATTACTTAGGGAATAAGATTAAGTTATTTTTAAAAAATATGAATTTTCAGAAATAAATAAGTAAATTTAATGATAATCTAAATTTTGATGTTTTTCTTTATGCTCTTTTTTATCATTAAATTGTTTTAAAAAGATTTATTTAACAATTAGGTTTTCAATTTCTTATTTTTTTTACATTTATATTCTTAGAAATTAGCTATAAAATTTATAGTAAGATTTATATTCTCATTTTTGTAATTTATTAACTTAAATTAGATATTCAATTTAAACTGCTTTATTGTAGCTTAAGAATATTTCATATTTAAAGATTAACTACTCTTTGAAATTTAATAACTTTATGATTATTGTAATTAATATATATGAAAATAAGGTTTATAGTATCATGTTCTCTTAGAATAATGAAATTTAGTAATTCTTAATTTTTCTATGGATTTAATTGTATTTATAATGTAAAACTATTGAGATATTAAAGTTTTTAGTATATAGATTTTACATCTTAGTAGTAGATATTGATTTGATTGAGAAATTGTTTTAGTTCATAGGTTGTAAGTATATATTGTTTTGATTTCGTAATTCCGATTAATAATTATAATTTTTTCTATATGGAAGCAGATCCTTTTATTAAGATCATTGTTGTGGGTGAGTAAGGAGTTGGCAAGACTTGCTTGCTGAATTAATATTGTTATGAGCGATTTGAAGCTAATAGTCCTCCAACGATAGGATGTGATTTTACGACTAAGGTGACTTAGACAAATGGATAGACTGTTCGATTATAATTGTGGGACATTGCTGGTTAAGAAAAATATAATGCTGTAAGTAAATTGTATGTAAGAGGAGCATTGGGTATTTAAATAAATAAAAGTAGGTTGTTTAATAGTTTGTGACATTAAGGATCCTAATTCATTAGAGGAAACTTTAAAATGGAAAAGCATCATTGAAGAAAATAGTGATTAAAATAATATTCCAATAATGTTGGTTTAGAATAAGTGCGACTTAGTGAGTGATGATGAAAAGACTGCTTATTATCAAACTTTATAAGGTTTTGCAAAAACAAATAAATTTTTCTCTTGTATTCAAACTAGTGCAAAAGAAGGCACAGGATTAAAGGTAAAGTAATGAAATAGATTTATAGTAACTATTCACAGAATTAATTTAAGAAATAATTGATAAAGGATTACTTGTGAATCAATAGAAGAATTTTAAATAAAGTACAAATGTACAATTAAATTCTGTTCAAAGTTAATAGAACCAATAACAGAAAAAAGATAAGTCTTGCTGTTGAATGAATATTAATAAATATAAATATATAATATAATTTATATTTATTCATTCTCTTTTTAAAAAGATTAAAAGGATTTTTAAATAATAAAAAAAAAATTTGTTTTATTAAAGATGGTATATATAGTATTCATTTTCTCTCTAGGTACTAGGAAAGTTTGTTGAAGTTGGAAGAGTTGTCAAAATCAATTATGGTCCTTAAGAAGGCAAATTGGCAACAATTGTTGAAATCCTTAATGATAAAAGAGTCCTAATCGATGGACCAACCACTGGAGTTTAGAGATAAGTCATTCCAATTAGAAGATTGACACTTACCAAATTCAATCTTAAAGGTGCAACAAGAGGAGCCAGAACTGGTGTCATTACCAAGGCAATTAAAAAATCTGATCCATTTGCACAATATGCTCAAACTGTTGCTGCCAAGAAGGTTGCTAAGAAAGCACTTAGAGCTAAATTAAACGATTTTGACAGATTCAGAGTCATGATTCTTAGAAAAAGAGTAATGCTATTAATAAATTATTATTTTAGAGAAGTGCCCTCCTTAGCACCTAACTCAAATCTTTGAAAAAGAATACTGGTGGAAAAGCTTAAGCATAAGCTAAAGGAGGAAATAAAAAGAAATGATCAGCTTATTATAAAATAAGTATATTAATAAATTTGAATTACATAAACCTGCATTCATTATTCAAATTATTTATGTTTCTTTTTCCTTTCTTCACTATAATAAATATTTCTTATCTATTAAAATTTGGTAACACTTTTTTTTATTTTATTTAAAGAATTATATGAACATTTTTTTAATTATTTATCCTTCTAAAATTACTATATTTTATACTAAGATATTATATTATAATTATATATAATCTATTTATTCATTTCTCCTTTCTAAACCAAGGGATAAATGAACTTACAACCTTTCTTTAATAAATTGCATAAGTTTCTCTCTTCTTTAATAAATGATTCTCCATATCTGGTATAGAATAAAATGAAAATAATGCTTAAATAGCTGCAGCTCCTACAATGGTCCAAGCATTTTCAAAACCAAAAGATAATTAACATAAATATTATCCCCACCAATACATACATTCTCCAAAATAATTAGGATGTCTAGAATATCTCCATAATCCAACATCACAATCACCTTTTAGTAATTTTGATCTATAAGGATAGAGTTGATAGTCAGCTAACTATTATTTATAATTATTACCTATCAATTCTATTGATATTGCACAAATTGTAAATATGATTGAAAAATTATAAGCAATAGAACATGGATTTTATGAATTGAACACATAATAAAGTGGCAAATGACCATAAAAGATCATTATTGAAGGTACAACTTCAAAGCCTAAATAAATAATTGGCCAAAAAATCAAAGGATTTGGATATTATTATTTTATTGCCACAATTCTATAATCTTCATATTATAAACCTTAAAAATTATTATGTACTATATAAATACCTGGCCAGAATCTAAAATATGTATAATTTTATTTAATGCAGTAAAAGAATACAAGGAAAGGGAGAATTATATTTCCAGATTCTTTAGACCAATATGTGACAAAAAACATTGGTGCTACTTTCCAATAAATATCATAAATTGATGTATTGCTATTCTCAATCAAAGTGAATACTTATAATAGAGACCTATCAAAAATAAGAAGGCTGTCGTTATTTAAATCACAATAAATTATGAAATCAAAATGGAATCATAATGTTTCTCAATCATAATTGTCAATGGAAACCTTTAAATATAGAATAGAATAATACCACAATATTCCAATGATTAAGTATGGTATCAACATAATCTTAAGAGATTAGGAATATGAATATTAAGACATTAATAATAATATAATTCATATTTACTAATTAATATATTATTAAAATATATAAAATATCTACTAGAATATATTTATTCAAGATTCGACAATCTTAAACAATATACAACTATGTAATTATTAAAAAAGATTTTAATACCTATTCAAAATCAAAATTTTATAAAACAATAAAAACTTTGAAAACAAATAAGTTCAAAATAATTTATTTAACCAAAATAGCACAGTACACTATTATATAGTTATGAGTAACTTGTAAAAGGAATGTAAATTATCTTTCTAAATATTTTAATTTATAAAAATATTAAGTCTATAATCAGTTTTTTTCAATAAAATAATGTATAGTTTACATAAATATTATAAAATATCTTTTAAAATCTCTTAATAATTGAGATAAAATAATTTAGCTTAGATAAGCATTTTAAGAATACTTTGATACCCTATTTAAATAAATAATAATAATAATAGAATTAGTATTGTTTCCAATTAAAATAAGATTTACAAAGAATACTAATTGAATTTGTATTATATTTGTTATTTGAATATTTATTATAATATTAATTGAATATTAATATCAAACAATTAAATTTGATTGTTTAAGGAAATCTTCAACATATTTTTATGCCAAATAAGCATAATCTTCTAATTCAGATTTTGTATTTAGTAAAACAGTGTTCAAATTTCTATTGATTTCGAATTCAAAAAACACTTAACATTTATGTGCTCCATAAAAGTACATCTAAAGTACATTATCCTCTTCTCCAGCTGCAATATTATACAATCTATAACGATTAAATAACTACTCCATGGCATTTTCATTTGCAATATCATTTCTAGCCAATGTTCTTGTTATAGAAGCTCTAAATTTATAAATATATATATAATACCCATTATTTAAGCTAGTCCACATACTTTCAAAATATTCAACTTCAATTCTATAATCAAGTACAAAATTATCAATAATTAATTTTTATTTTGGTTATTCAGAGATCTCAAGTAAATTAGGTTAATTTTATACAATTGGTACATTTGATACAGTTATATCATGTTCAATATCAAATCCATCTTAGACTGGATCTGGTTTTTCAGCAGTAGTAGATTGTTATTATTCTTAAATTTAATCTTATAATTCTTTATTTCTAAGATTATTAAAATATTCTGCAGGTTTGATAAATTTATTGACACTCTTTTCGTAGATGACAGAAAGAGAATTAAATTCAAATAATAAAGCTTCTTTATTGATATTTTATTCCTCTAAGAATTTATCTACTTTGATTCCATTTTACCATAATTTCTTAATTTCATTAGGATTATTTTACAATGCTCTATAATAAAAAGCAGCACGATCTTTTAAATCAATATCTTCATTTTCATTATTCATAATACTATAAAATAATTATCCTAAAATTTCCTACATTTCTGGTGCTCTACAAAAAAATACTTTTAAACATGAAGTTAATAAAGTATGTTTAAGTTCAACAGATTCTGCTACTCCTATAAATGTTTATAAAATATAAGGAGCCAAAGGAATTTAAGATCCAAATTAACCTAAAATATAGATTAATGCAATTTTAGAATTTTAATCTGTAACACTGTCTGATTATATAATTTCCAAACAATCTTTTATATGTTTTGGATCCTTTCTAAGTATATCTTTAAATACTATAATAACTTCATTTGTTATATAATCTTATAAAGTAATAAATGAAGATAATTATTTAACAATTGCATTTGCTAAATCAGGTAATCTAAGAGCAATAGCACCTAATGCTTGTATAGATTTCTTTGAAATTTCTTAATCAACATCAGTTACATATTCTCCTAATTCATTTAACATATCTCCTAAATTGAAATCACATGCTATCAAAGCTAAGATTTCAAGTTTAATTAATTTAATATAAGTAGGTTCATCTACTCTACAATAAAAACATTTATAATCTTATGAAAATACTTAATTATATCCTTTTGATGCAATAAATTTAATATGACATAGAATTGTATACATAATTTCTAAATTACCTTCACTAATAGATGCTAAAGTAACAAGAGGTGCTTTTACTCTTGTAATTACTTATTCATAAACTTAAGGTTTATTTTTTGTAAAATTCATAAATACTTTTATTACTGCTAATACAATAGCAGAACATGAATGTTTTAATCTCTCTTCTAAAAGATTCATAATATTGAACATTTCTTTGTCATCTTTTGGTTAATATTTTGATAATTCATCTAATATAGTAGCTTATCCCCATTCATTAAATTCTTTCAATCTACCTAATAAATAATCTACTAATTTCTTAGATAGTGCCATTCCACCTTCTGCTGCTAATATTTCATTGAGTGCATGAATAGCATTGATTATAACCAAAGGATCATTATCACTAATCATTTTATATAGTTATTCTTCTATATTACTCAGAAATTCAGGTTGCATATAATAAACTTTGACACATCCCATAATAGCTGTTTTTCTAACATATGGATCTATATCAGAAAGGGATTCTCTTATTGCAGGCATCAAATATTCAATAGCACCACTAAATCTCAAAGAGCAAAGATTTCTTAATGCAAATCCTCTGATTTTTGGATCACTATGTTTACAATCCTTTTAGAATGTACTTATTGCCATAAATGCTAAATCCTTATTTTATTCAGCATATGTAGTAAGATATAAGTATATCATTTTCTTTTATACCATGTCATTTGTATATGAAGCCATGCACATTTCTGGAAATATTTTAGAAACATCAATTCCTAATTATAAAAATAAGATAATACCTAATGTCATATAAGCTATAACCTTTTTAACAACTTCTCTCTTCTTTTTATCATCCTTTTCACTTAAGGTATTTTTGACCAATCTATATGGATTGAATAATTGTACATTTTCAATTCATTTACTTCTCCTTTTCTATTACCTTCAAAATACTATTATTATTTTGGGGGTGGTATACTTGCAATACTACTAGCATAATGAGGACGCATAATTAAATTAATAAATATAAGAATTTAATAGTATTATATTCCCAACATCATTTTTATGTCAAATTATAAAATTTAAAATTACGTGTGAAATGAACAAGTATAGAACCATCAAAAAGATAATTTAGTGAAGTGTTCATAATTCTATTGTAAAGAGATTATTAGAGTATATAAAATTTAAAACGGATTTATAAGTGAATAATTAATAATAAAAGGGGAAAAAAAGCAAAGATGAGACAGGTGTTTATCATACTGATATTAGCATCTATATGTTTTGCCTAATCCCAATTAAGAGGACGCCAATAATTTGGTATAGCTGCAATTTGATATGAGTAGAGAAATAGGATTTTAACTTAGATGAATATTCATTCATGCAATTTCATTATAATACACCTCCAATGGATGTAATGATGGTGAATCACGAACTTGAGATTTAGAGAATGATGGGAGTACCAGGAGTTGTGATGATGAATTATGTTTTAGAGGAATCTCCATACAATCCCATATCATGGTGAAAATATTATTAAGATATATAAATCCATCATTTTCTTACTGCAATTTCATATATTTTCTATCATATTGGTAGAAATGAATTCGATTATGAAGACTTAAAACAACAAGACATTATCTATTTAATAAGTGCAAGTATTTATTTTGTAATAAACTTCATACCAGTGATTCCAGCTGGAAATGAAGATGCAAATAACCATCCTAAAGATATCATCTAAATTCTTTAAGTATTCAAATACCTAAGCAATTGAAAACATTAACACCAAAATATAATTTTTATGGATCAGACTAAAATACACTGTTGCTATAAGCATAATCACATAAATGTTAGTATAAATGAATTTATCCTTATTACAAAACATTTTCATAAAGTTCTTTCCTCCTTTTATTATAAACAATGAAATCCACAAACTTAATGATCTATATTATATTTAAATAAATAACACATACCCTAAACTAAATAATCCACCAAATTTTGCTGGAAATATCATTATTAATGGTAAAAATGTAAATGCTATAAACATAAAACATATTCCCACTCCAAAAAATATTGTAAAATTCTTCCAATTCAATGCTGCTTATTATACATCTTATACTTTTGTCACTACACTTTCTTATATATTTCATTTTATAAATCTTACATGGTTTTAGAAATCTAATAGATTAAGAAAACTTAGACACGAACCCTGATTTCTCTTAAGGATCAGATTGTTATTCAATATCGTTGCTTTAATTCCAAAATTAAATATATTTCATTATTTTATTTTAAACTCTCTTAACTTCGATTAGTTCAATCCATTCAGAGGTGTTTTTAATAAGTATATATTTTGTTTCTACCGAGAACTATGCATTGATTATTCTCTTTTCGACATCGGACTCTCTTTTTATTTCTTTTCGAATGCATCTAAATTTGGTGCTGAATTCCTGATTAAAGTAGAAGATTGACTAGTAATCATTTAAGTTTATTCAATTAAGTTATTAAGATTGTTTATCTTTCTCATATAATCTTTCATCTAAGGCTTCTTTATTAATGGTAGTTGATTCATTTAATTTTAGTAAATAATCTTTCGAGACACTTACTTACATTAAAAATCAAAAACACTACCTTTACCCTCAGGACTAAACTCTAATTTCTCATCTCTATCTCGTTCTGATTACAAAGTTTTCAAACTTATGCATGCCTTTGCAGTTTTAGTTACTTAACTAAAAATTCCTCTTAATTTATTCCCATTTCCTACTATTGATTATTTTTAAACTTCCTTAACTTTTGAAATAAGAATATCATGAAATTTCCTAATTTTTCGTCCAACCATACCACATTCACTACATCCACAACTTAATCTTCTTATTTTATACTATAACTCAGGAAATTTATAATTTTTTTATCTACTCTTCTAAGGCTATTTATTCTTTTTGTTAGGAGAGTTTCTTCCATTGATGAATCCGAATTCCATCAAAGTCCTTTATGTATTAAATTATCTGCTTGTTGAAAAAACTTATTGAGTATCTATACATTGCTCTGATTTTTGATAGCATGTTTATTATAAAAGTCTAATAAACACATCCAAACTCTTTGCTATTTGATATAAAATACTATAATACATCGAAATTTTTTGAATGTTGTTATACAATTCTTGCTATAATTTTATGTTATTCTTTGCTTAGGTACTTCAATTTTATGAGATTTGATTATATTTATAGACATTACAAAAATAATTAAGATTAAGAATTTTTTATTGTAAAAAAGTCAAATAAAATGATTCATACTTATATGTTTTAGTTCATTAAAAGAAAGAAAGAAAACAGTAATTTTATAAGGAATGGTTTAGAAACGCATATATTAATTTTAAGTAATTAAATGTTGATAATCTAATAATAAGAAATATATAATAAACCTATAAGAATAAATTTATGTTAATTAATTATATATATATTTATAACCAATTACAGCATTCATTTTTTTGAACTTTTGTCTCCTTTCTCTTCTTTTTTTCTATCATGTTTTGTTCCCTTTATTTATTTATTTTATTTGGCTAATTATGCTTTCGTTTTAGACTTATAAATTTATAGAACATCTTCATCAGCTAATACATGGTTTAAACCAACTTTTTATGGATTAAATCTAAATAAAATTAAATATATTACTTGCAACTTCTTCCCCAAACAATAGCAAACTTAAATTCATCAACTAATTCTCTATGAATTTATGCACAAACACTTCTAATCATCAAACCATTTCTATCATTACTAAGTACTATAGGATCTCCAAAATCTGGTTATTATCCTCTCTTTTTTGTATAGACTCTAACTAAATCTAATTTCTCCCACATGCATTCTAATAAATAATCCAAATTTAGTTTCAAATTGCATGATATTACACAATGATCTTTTCTTCTAGCAATTTCATCTACTTCTTCAATAGATATCTTATCAATTTTATTAAAAACATAAAGACATTTAACATATTTTCTATTTCCTTCAATAATATCAATTAAATCATCTACTGTAATATCTTCTCTAATCAATATATCAACATTATGGATTTTATATTCTTACATAATGTTTTTAATTAACTTTTCATCTACTTTTGTTAATTTTATAGTTGATGTAATACGAACCCTAAATTTATAATAATCAATTAATACATTCCTGATTTATTTGGTGTAATAGTCACATCTGGTTTCTTTCTATTAAGTCTAATACCCATTTTGTCTAATTCTAAAGTGAGTTTTCTTCTTTAATCTTCAGCTTTATCAGCTTCCAAAACCATAAGAACAAGATCACAAGCTTTAGCGACTGCAATGACTTGTCTTCCTCTTCCTCTACCTTCAGAAGCACCTTCAATAATTCCTGGAAGATCAAGCAATTATATTTTAGCATCTTTATAATCAATTACTCCAGGTATGCATGTTAATGTAGTGAATTCATATGCAGCCACAAGTGATTATGTTTTTGTTAAAGTTGAAAGAATAGTTGACTTAATAATATAGATTATGTTAATACCTTTCCAACAGATGGGAATCCAATCATACAAACTCTTGCATTACCAAACTTTTAAACTTCAAATCCTTCACCTTTTGGACCAGATTTAGGTGGCTCTAATAATTGAGTACGATATTTGGCCAATTTAGCCTTCAATTAACCCATATGGTACTCAGTTGCCTTATTCTTTTAAGTTCTGGCCATTTCTTCTTCAATTTCCTTGATTTTCTCAATGAGCCCCATAATTATTTTTATTAGTAAAAAAAAAAATCAAATTTATTTTTTTATTGAGCATATATGAATCAATATTATATTTTGGTTAAAATAGGTGAAGGTACTTTTTCAGAAGTTTTAAAAGCTAAATCAATGATAACTGGATAATTAGTAGCAATTAAATGCATGAAAAATAGATTTGAAAGTGTGGTAATTATATCTTTAACTTTTTAAGGATTAAGTAAAGAACTTAAAAGAAATCTAAGCATTACATTAATTATAGTAACATCTTAATATTGTTAAATTACATGAAGTCCTCTATGATGAACCAAGTGGAAGATTAGCATTAGTATGTGAATTAATGGAAATGAATCTCTATGATTGCATAAAGAATAGAAATTCTTATTTGAGTATGGCCAAAGTTAAAAAATATATGCATTAAGTATTAAAAGCCTTAGATTATATGCACAAACGAAACTTCTTTCATAGAGATATTAAACCTGAAAATATTCTGATAAAAAATGATAATGTTAAAGTAGCTGATTTAGGAAGTTGTAAAGGTATACATTCTACTCATCCATATACTGAATATATAAGTACAAGATGGTATAGAGCACCTGAATGTTTAATGACAGATGGTTATTATGATTAAAAAATGGATCTATGGGGAGTTGGATGTGTAATGTTTGAAATTATTGCATTGTTACCTCTATTTCAAGGGGAAAATGAATTAGATTAAATTAATAAAATCTTTAAAATCTTAGGTACTCCTGAACCTGAACTATTGAATAGATTTAAATCTTAAGCTTCTCATATGGAATTTAATTTTAAACCATAAAAAGGTATAGGATTGGAAAGATTAGTACCTCCACATGCTGGATCTGATTGTATAGATTTACTTTATAAATTATTGTAACTTGATCCAATTAAAAGAATAAGTGCAGAAGAGGCTCTTAGACATGAATTTTTTGAAGAATTTTGGGATGCTCCAATGTCTCAATCAAGTGATAGTACTTAATTTGGAAAGGCTATTAATATAACAAAGCCAAAGAAGAGATTGAATAAGGGTATTTATCCAGGTACAATAAAATTGGAAGTGAAAATGGAGAGCAAATTGAATTAATCTGATGACGAGAATGAAAAAGTTCGTGATGGTTTATTATACCCAAAATTACCTCCAATAGGTAAACCATACATTAAACCTAAAGTTAAAAATCCTTATGCTAAAAAGAAACTTTATGATGATTATATTATAGTTGGTAAAAAAGCTTTAAATTGATTTACTTAAGTAGTATGAAAATTACACAAAATATAGATATAATATCATAATAAATTAAGTTTTTGTAATATTGCCATTAAATTTGATTAAGAGGCATCAAATATCTCTAAAAAACTATTAACAAGAGATTCTTAACAGAATATTTTAATGTCACTATAGTTTCTGGTTATTAACTTATTTTTGTGATATAACAACATAGCTAATATCAATTTGTTTATGATATCTTCACCTTCAATTAGAAAGAGATCAAGAATCATGGCTGAAAATCTCCAAGGGATATTATACATCAATAATGTCATATAGAATCTAGAAAAGAAAGGAAAAAAATCAGTCTAAATACAAATTCATCTTTACAATCCCTTCATCATAGAAATGTTTATGTAATTCAGGTATCTTTTTTTTCATCATCTATTCAAGCACATCTATTTTAAGTCTTAAATATTCATAACCCTCCAAAAATACAACTCTCCAATTTAGATTTTTCATAATATATAAAAAGATTAAGAACACAGTTTCATCTCTATCCTCATCCATAACTTCAAAATCATTTAATTATTAATCATTAACACTTAAATCATAACAAACTAATAAATTTGCTACTATTATTATCAGTCCTTAAACATATCCCAATTCTTTATCATAATTTGCATATGCAATTAGAATATTTTTTAATGATTATTAATTTTCATACTATTCTAAATTTAGATTAATACTTATTTAAACATATCATGAATAATAGTTCCTTCAACATCTTTTTCAATCTAAATCTTATGCAGAGTCTCTAATTTTTTCAATATTGAATAACTCTGATTTTTTAATTCTTTTTTATTCTATTCTTAATTACTGATAAAAATCCACCATTGTCTTCGTCTAATATTTATAAATTACTTTACATATCATATTCCATTGTCTATAATAAAATTGATTGATGTATTTATTAAAAATTATATCCTGTGAATGTTTTATTTTTTAGGATAATTTACCAATCATTCTTTACTAGAATTTTATCATCCTTCATAACTTCTTCAATATATTTAATATCATTAAACTCATTTATATTATAAATGCATTAATCATCCTTTGAGATCTTATTGAAATCCTATCATTTATTTACATATTTACTTTTAACATATTAATTTTCATTTTACTATTAACACTTACTGATCTTAACTTACATTTTTCATTCAAACTTGGTTATTGAATTATTTCTTATTGTTCCTTTTATATCTAATGAGATTTCTTGATATGATAATCTATTCGTGTTTTAATAAACGTGTATGAATTTGTGAACCACATTAAATATATATATATATAATATATATTATTTCTCGTTAAATTATGTAAAAGAATATCAAAATCTCTCACCTCTGATTCTTCTAGCTAATTGGATATCTCTAGACATTATAGTGACTCTTCTAGCATGGATAGCACATAAATTTGTATCTTCAAATAATCCTACTAAGTAAGCTTCAGCTGCTTCCTAAAGTGCCAATACAGCTGAACTTTAGAACCTTAGTTCCTTCTAGAAATCATGAGCAATTTCTCTAACTAATCTTTAGAATGGTAATTTTCTAATCAACAATTCAGTTGATTTTTAATATTTACGGATTTCTCTCAAAGCAACTGTTCCAGGTCTAAACTTATGTGGTTTCTTTAATCCTCCTGCAGCTCCAACAGCTGGAGCAGTCTTTCTAGCAGCCTTAGTGGCTAAATGTTTTGTTGGCTTCTTATTACCAGCAGTACTCTTTCTTGCAGTCTATTTAGTTCTTGCCATTTTTATTATTAAAAATGTCACTTAATATTTTGTGTACTTAAAACATCATAATAAGATTTGATTGGTGAATTAAGAATATATTACATATTAATATGAATTAATCAAACTTAATGAGACATTTAAAAAAGTACTTTTTTAAATTTCATCATTCTCAAAACTTTATTTGATCATAAATCTAGATAACCTAATTGGTATTCCCTCTTAATTCAACTAAATTTTGGTTATATAAATAAATTGTTCTTACAAAAATTCAAAGCATAATTAATTTGACTCTCCTTATAATAGTTCTTTTCATTACATCAATTCCGAAGTTGTTCTGTAATTACATTATTGAATTAACAATAATTGATTATGTTATATATTAACTATTCTATTTCAATTTATACTAAATTAAAAAAACTTAGGATTTGAATACATTAATTGAACCATCACTTCAAAAGAGAAAAAGATTGATAAATATTAAAGTTTATGATCATTTATAACAAAAGCATATATAAAAAGTATCTTATTATAAAATTTGTGTTTTTATAATCGTTAATATATAATTTATATATATTTATTTTTATATTATATTATATAATAAATATAATAGATAGCAAATACTTTTTCTTATTTATTAATTTATACACTTTAAAACTGAAATCTAATATTGCCAATAATCTTTAGTAATAAATTATGATGAGACTTAATTTCAACTAAATTTATTACTTTTTCATTATTTGTGTTTAAATATATATTTGCTTAGATAATTCTTAATTTTTGTTGGATATGCTAGCTGCTAATTGTACATTTTTTAATTCATAATATTAATTTTTAATATATATAATACTTAAGTAAGATGATTTAACAGTACTTTAATCCATTTAGAAAAAGCAATTAGTAGATATTCTCACTCTTTGATGAAAAAAGTTATCATGAAATAACAGTTGAGGATGAATTATCTATTTTGAAACCTATTCCAAAATTTGTTTGGGAAGATGATTATTATGAATAATTGAAATTAGAGTTAAAATATTATAATTTAGATGTTTAGGTACTATCACATTCTGAGTGGTAAACTCTTTTATAAACAGGAACATATGATTCAAACAAAAATTTATTATTATCAATATTTACTACAAGATCATTAACAGTAAAGCAAATTTTTGATTTCATAACAATGTAATGCCAAATATCTTGTTAATTTGATTAATTAAGATAGTAATTAAAAGAAAAAGATTATGAATGCATATTTAAGGATGTTAAAAGAACTTTTAAGAGTTCAAATTACTTTTAAAAAGAAGATGTACTTTAAAGACTTCAGGATATACTAGTGGCTTATAGTAATTTGGATTCTGAGGTATCTTATGGATAGGGAATGAATTTCATTGTTGCAGCTCTTATATATTTAGATTTCAATAATGATGAAGCAATCTTTGAAATTCTAAGAACTATAATTATGGATAGGGAATGGAGATAATGTTATATTAATAATACTCCTGGACTATTCTAATTATTGGCAAAATTTAATTTTAAATTTAGAAAAAGAATGCCAACATTATATAATCATTTTCTAAGACTTGGTATTGAAGATTTGAGGGTGATAGTAAGTGCATTCTATTTAACTTTATGTATGTAACATGCTCCAATATAATTTTCATTGGTTATATTGGCTATGTTTTTTATTGAAGGGGATGACATAATAACAAAGATGATATTATCAATGTTAAAGTATTTTGAAAATTATTTATTAAAATTAAATGATTTTTAAAGTGTAATTGAGTTTATAAAAAGGGGATTAATAAATAATTTCTATAGAGAAATATAAAAATGTAGGAAACAGTAAAGATTAGTATAGGTACTTTTAGATATTGGATTAATTAAAAGAAAACATAAAAAACAAAAAACTTAGGGATTCATGAAATAATTAATTTAGAAACCATGAGCATTTGGAAATGATGTTTATATTTATTTTTTAAAAATGAGTTTAATATTTTTTGTTTAAGAAACCAATATAACTTTCAATTTTGAATAGGATTAGGATCATTTAAGTATTACTCAAATGTTTATTTTTTGGCTTCATCCAAAAAGAAATTTGAATCTTCAATTGCATAAGAAATATTTTGAAATGCTATATCTTTTGTATTTTAATATTTAAAAATGCTTTTTTAATATAGCAATAGTGTCTCTAGTTTTTATGTTACTTTCCACCAAAAACTTTTTGAATAAGAATTTCTAAAATCTTCACTCATTAAGTATTCCTTAATTAAATTATGTTTATGAATTTAGAAAGGTTGATTATCATTAAAACTGTTCATCAACTCCACAGATTTTTCATAGCATTTTAATTATCTTTTGATACATCTTAAATATTAATATGAAATCTTAGCAACTTTTTTTTAATTAATTAATTATAATTATTATTTTAATTCCTAAATTATGTTATCCAAAAAGCTATTATTGTCCTTTAATTATTTTTGTTTTAAAAATTATAGTCTTTCTTCCGCTAGTTTATAAGTTTTATCTATTTTTTCAGATGAAATATAATATTTCATTAATTTATTTTCTTTTTCATTATTAAACTAAATTAAAGAGTTTTTGACTTGTTATTAATATCTACTACTTCTCCAAATGATTTGATTACATTTTGGACAATGAATTAAATTTGATTGTTAACTGTTAAAATATTAATCTAAAAATTCTGCTTCTAAAATTCCATTACATTAACATTCTAATTTATAATAAATAGTATTTTTATCAGCAGATTAAGTATCATGTTCATTAACTTAACAAATTTCAGGACAAACTTCTCCACAGAATCCCATGCAATCACAACCACATTTAAGTTTTTTATCACATTATAAATTACATGGTTTTCTATCACATATTTCTGAACATTCTTTTGTACATTTAGTATGTTAGCATTTCAATTAACACTTATTTACACATGGACTACATATTTCAGAACATTTCTTTTTACATCTAATTTAACAATTACATTCTATTTGACATTAATCTTCACATTTATAACATTCTGAAGAACAAAGTAATTAACATTTATGACCACATAATAATGTTTTATCACATTTATCTTAACATGGTTAATGGAATTTTTCAAAACATAATCCACACTTTCCACTACAATTATGTCCACAAATTAATTAATTTTAGCAATTTTTAGTACATACCAATTTTTCAACGTAATTTAGATCATCACATGAAATAGTAGTTTCATGTTTACATATTATCATTTTATATCTAATTTTTTCGAAACATATATTATTTTTGCAATCATCCATGCATCTAAGAGAACATTAATGACCACACCTTAATATTTTATTGCACCTTTCTTTACATTCAATCTTTTTATTTTATTCAGAACATAGTATGTATGCCTAATGGCCACATTCTTTTATTTATATCTTGATCACAGTTTTACAAGGGGGACAAGAAATCTATCTACATCTTCCAGTACATTGATGACCACATGTTAATTATTTTTCACATTATTCAGGACAATCTTATTGACTGTGGGCAGATTTATGACAAATTTATTTACAAATATGACCACAAGGAAATTTTGCATCACATGTTTTTGTGCATCCACCTCCTTTTACTAAATCCCAATCTCTTTCTTCATATATTTTTGTAACTTAATTATGAGAAGAACATTTCAAATCAATGCTATTCTAGATTACACCTTTTTATTTTGCTAAATCTAATATTTTTAACCATAAATCTGAAACATCTGGATTTCTTTTTTGAGGATCCATTTTCTAGTAATCATTTATGCATTCTTTAATAAAACCGAAATCACCAAATACAAATAATCCCAACCTTGCTCTAGAAAAAGCTACACACACACGATTATCTATAGCAACAAAACCCAATTTATAATCATCGTTGGATCTAACCAAAGACAACAATATTATATCATTTTCTTCTCCTTAATAATTATCTATTGATTATACTTTTACATTTCTATCACATTATTTTTGGATATATAATGCCTATCTTACATAAGTAGTTAAGATTGTAATTTATTTACCTTGATATCCATTTTTTAGTAAATAGTCAACCAATTTTACAATCATTCTAGCTTCAAATTTATTTTATTTGGAATTTGAGTATAGTTTTTTATCTTCTTAATGCATATGATCGAAAAGGAGCAAATCAGTGGTTAATCCTTCTATATGAATTTTGTTTTATTCTTATATTGTACTATGATCTTAATAATCTTTATAGATTAAACGAATAAAATCAGCAAATTTTGATTTCATTCTTCTCTAAAATCTCAAAGTGACATATTCTAATCCATTTTTAATTAATCTTTCAAACAATGAAATATTTGCTCTGAATTTAACTTCCAAATCATAGCATTCCATATGTGGTTTTAATTATTAATGATCACCTATTAAAATTAAATGATTTATTTATTAGGACAATACAGCAACTAAATTAGATTCCAATACTTCACCTGCTTCTTCAACTATGAGTATATTAAATTTTAAATTTGATAATTTCTCTGCATATTTTGCACATCCAGTCAAAGTTACTCCAACTATTTTCTTATTTTATATAAATCTCATATCTCTATCAATATATGCCTATTTTAATTATTATATATATTATTCATATAATTCTACATCTTTTTCCATAATTTTAAATAAATATTAGAATTTTTGGCTAAAAATGAATCTTGTGATCACATTCCTTTTAGTTTATGATAGTTCCCATATATTAAAATTTCTATTGTTATTGATTTCTTCCATAATTATCTAAAAGCTAACTTCATTATCTTTGCTTAACCTATTTAACAACCTCTTTATTGTTCTATCATCATCAATAAGCTTTTTTATAAAATCGTCACTTCCTTTAGAATCTTAATTAATCAAAATCTTCCTATTTTCTTCTTCATCAGAATCAAGATTTTCATTTTCATCTATAAAATCATCTTCATCTTCTTATTCTAATTATTATTGAGCTTCATCAGTCAAATAAAATTATTTTTCTAAATCACTAAATTTGTAAATCATTATTGGTTTAAAACGTTTTCTATTAATTTACTATTTTAACAAGAAATTGCCACACTAATTTTCAATCGCAATAATATCTTGAACTTATTTTTCTTGAGGTTTAAAATTATCTAACCACATATGCATTATCCTTTTTTGAGATTCTGATGATATTGGCATTTTAAAGTTAAGATCCTCAGTTTCTAAATATTAGGTTATTACTCTATCCAATAAATCAGGCATATATTGTTAAACATCCTTGTAAATTACATTATCAATCAAATTTAACAAATTTCTTAACTTTCTATCCAAATCATTTCTTAGCTCTAAGAAATCCCCCCAATTAAAATGAATTTTTCTACTAGTTTAGTCATATGTCAAAAGCATTGGTTCAAATTCTTTCACTTTGCATCGACCTCCTATTCTTACAATATCTTCCATATTGCAAAAAGTAAGAATGTGTGACAAAAATTGATCTAATGCATGATTTGTTTAACACACAATCAAAATTGGTTTATTTTGATATTTATAATTTTTATTCCATTTAAACTAATTCTATAATAATATTCTGACGCCCAATGCTCCACAGAATGTTTTACCTGTACCTGGTGGTCCTTAAATCAAAGAGATACCATTTTTTAGTATTGACTAAATTGCTTTTAATTAAGAAGGATCCAAACTCTCCGTATTAATATTAGGCCATTCCCTCAATATATTTACTTTTTGTAATTATCCAATTCGCTTCTATTAATGTAAGTCAAATTTGAGATCAATATCATAAACAATACCTTCATTTCTAGTTTATTAATTATCTAAATATCCTGGCAAAGGCATAACATTTGAACCAAAAACTATTTATTTTGCAAAAGGAAATTGGGATGGTTCAATCATTTATAAACAACTTAAAAAATGAGTATATGTTTCAAAATATATTTTATTCTCAATTGCTATCAATTATTATTCTTTTTATATAAAATTTATTTTTACCTTAACTTAACAAACTATTTACAAATCTTAATTATTCTTTCATAGATAGACTTATCAAAGTAATAGCAATACTAACTCTACCGTTATGTGCAGATTTAGGTTTTTCGACCACAGTTCCAAATAACATGAAGTCAAGTTTTATGGTTGACTTAATTTTATAATAAAATATACTAATAAGAGTAAAGAACCTGGCATAAGTCTATTTGATTTTTGCCAATTTATTCTATCATTCTTTGGATCATACGCATTCATTGTAGCAATAAATTAGAATCCTCGATTTGTAACTGTAATATTTTCTATAAGAACATTATAATATAAAAATGCACTCTATAACACATCATAACCTATTTATTCAAATCCTTATTTTTTTAATTTGGCAACTACCAATCTAAAACTCTTTAAGTAATCTTCTCTAAGAATGAAAAAGTGGTTATTCAAAAATAACTCAGTACTTAAAAAAGGTTTTCCAAAAGGAATTTCGAAAATACATCCTCCATATACAAAATTTTTATCAGGAACATTATCAAATTCCGCAATCATAGGTTCTATAGGACAATTCTTATAACTGATATGAGCTTAATCCATTTATCTAGGTCTTTATCTCTATTCATTACGTTGTTTATATTCATTACGTTGTTTATATTCATTACGTTGTTTATATTCATTACGTTGTTTATATTCATTACGTTGTTGATATTCATAATTTTTATTTATTGATTCATAATATTATTCGTCATCATTATTTCTTTAAGGTATATTTTAAGATCCTTAATTACTACTTCTATTAATTGAAAGATTCTATTACTACTGTGAATCGTTTAAGTAACTTACATTATTATCGTTTTCAATATAAGGTTAATTAGAGTTGTAAGAATGTTAGCTTCGTTATTAGTAGGGTTATTAATCAGAATTGGATGATTATCTTTATAATTAGGTAGGCTCTTTAGCTTCATACTCTACATAATTTCTCTAATAATATTATCTTTCATTATTTTGTTGTTATCTAGCTATATTACTGTTCTATTCTAAAAATTGTGATTTTTCAACCCATATATCTTATTGTTACATCGAATTTTTTGGTTTATTATATTAATTGGAATATTAAGTTTGATCTTTCTGATTTTATTAATATGAATTTGATTATTAAGGTTCATGTTAATTTTGCTGACTTTATGAATATGAATTTGATTATGAAGGCGGTAGTTCATTTTATGAGTATTAATTTGATTATTATTAAGGCGGTAGTTGATTTTATTAATATAAATTCGATTATTAAGGAGCATTTTGATTTGGCTGTGTTGATGAATATGAATATGATTATTAAGGTTCATATGAATGTAATTTTTATTATTATGGCGCATAGTAATTTTACTGAATTTATTAATATGAATTTTATTATTATTATTATGGTAGATGTTGAATCTACTGAGTTTATGGTTATGGATTTAATGAAAAGATTTCAAATTCTGAAAAATTATTTTAATCTTATTGAGAGTTTTAAACAATATTTACATTCTACTGATTTGGGAAATAGTTCTATTATTGAAGGTTTAGATTGTTATCAACCAAATCATTTCTTGTATATTATTAATTATTCATTGTAAGATCAACTAGATAGTTTTTAGGTTTATATTAATCTATATTATTATTTTATTAATAAGTTATCTAATTGACATTATTATTGATATATGGTTAATGATTAGATGTTTTTTTATAATATATAGATTCCATTTATCTTTACAAATATTTAATTTTCTCGAACTCTTCTTTGAATTTTTAGTTTTTTTACATAATATTAGAGACTATTTGATTTAATTTTTATATATATTTTGGTAATAAGTTTAATTATAGTTCTAATGAATGTTGTACAAACTTTAGAAAGTAATTAATAAACTTTTTATATTTATTTAATTCACTTTCAGTATAGTTGATTTACCTGTTTATAACATCAAGCTCTTAATCAAATTATCTCTCAAATGAAGATGAATCCAAAATTTGCTCTAGATAGTAATTATAATATTTTTGATTTGGTTTTGATAAAAATACTAAGCTTTCAAGGCAACATTATAAAAGATTATGAAATTTTTTTGTATTTACATTATCAATAGCCATTTTTAATTCTTATGGTCCTCTATGATACCTCCTAAAAAATTATTCTAATTCATAAGCCACATTGCCTTTTGATTCAAGAGCTTCCTCCCATAATTTTTAGTTTATGTATTTAGTATAAGGTTATTGTACTTATATATTACTATTTCTTTCTATATACATAAACTAATTTTTATTTATAATAATAGAGATTATGAGATTAATATATTAATTTAATCTGTAATTTATATTATTAAATAGGTAGATAAGGTGATGAGGGGAATCTATAAAAAAATAAAAATTTATTATTTGAAGAAATTAAAAATAATGATTAGATTATTGTAAAATTTAAATATTTTTCATATTTTAATTATTTCTATCATAATTTTCTAAGATCAACTTCACATTCAATTGGAACATGATCACTTCCCTCAATATTTGTATTGATATCAGATACAATGATGGCATTAGTAACTTCTTTATTAATTATAAAATAATCTAATCTCCATCCCTTGTTTTCTTATCTAAATTTTAATTAATTATTATTTTACCTGCTATTATTTCTAGCACTAAAATAACTATATTTAACTTCTTTTGGATGTAAATGTCTAAATGTATCAATCCATCCTTTTTACAAATAATTTGTAAATTGATCTCTTTCTTATTAGGTAAATCTAAAAATAAAATAATTGAAATACCCAGCAGTTTTTTTATTGCCAGCTGGATTAGCTAGATCTATTTCATGATGAGATACATTAAGATCACCACATAAAATAGTAGGTTTTTTCTTCTTTAAATCTTCAAGATAGTTTTAGAAATCAACATCCCATTCCTTAGTTCTATAATCAAGTCTTTCTAATTTCTATCCTGCATTTGGTACATAACATGCAACTAAATAAAACTTTTCATATTCAGCTGTGAGTGTTCTTCCTTCTTTATCATGTTTATCAATACCAATATCACATTTGATTGAAATAGGTTTTACTCTATAAATTAAAGTATTTAGTACTTCGAAGCTATACCAACACCACTATATCCACCTTTAGTCTTACAGAAATTAAGATAAAGAACATAATGTTTTCCAAATTTAGATCCTAAGTTTTCTTTATCAAATACAGACTAATCTGCTTTTAACTCATTCAAACAAATTATATCAAACTTAAACTTATATATTATTAATTACTTTATTATCATGTAAATATTGTACAGCTTATTCACGTTTAGTTGCAGCTCTGATTCCATTAACATTCCAACTTGCAATTTTTATTGTTGGAGTACTAAATTTCCCATCTCCCAATTCAAATTTTTATTCAATTTCTAGAACTTATTTTACTTTTTTATCATCTCCTTTAATTATCTATTATTTCTCAATTTTCTATTCTCCTTTTTTCTCTACAGGATCTTCTGCTTTCTTTACTTCCTTTTATTATTTTCCTTTTGATTTAACAACATCCTTTTATTAGACTTCATCCTTCTTATCTGGACTCAATCTTTTTATTGCTTATCTTCCTCTCTTTTAATTCATTTTTATTATATAAAATAAATTGAAAATAGATTTTCTTATAACATTCTGAATATAAGTTAAAGATTTATTTTTATTTTAATAACTACTTTTAATATCTTAATAAAAATAACATTATTTTTGTATTTATATTAGAATATATTTTAATTGACATTTAAAGTTGATTTTATTTATTAAAAAAATGTTTATTGTTATACGATGATGACTTACTAAAATTCTAATATATAAGTTTCAGGAAAATAAAAAAAATTATATTTATAAAGGCAATCAATTATTTATTATTATCGTTTTTCATTATTATTAATCATTAGTCTGCAAAAGCTTTTCTTATTCAGGTTAATTTTCATTATCCATTTATGGTGTTTATTCCTAAATATGATAATCAGAATCTTCCTTTGGTGTGTCAGGTTTAGCAAGCATGTAAACACAAAGTACTTAACCCATTAAACATAAGAATATCAATAAACCCCAAATCCAATAAGAAGAATCCCATTCTTATTTTAGTGCTTATTCTAAATTCATTACTCGTAAAAGAAAATGATCTTGCATCTATAAAGTCTTGAAATAAATATAATAAATTCTAAAAATTAAGAATTATTCTAAATAATTTGAAATTTTTATTGAATATCAAAAATAAAAGACATTATTTTACAACCAAGGAATATGTATATCATTTAATTGGAGAAAGTAAATAATAAAAATATAGAGATTTGTCATCTAAATATATATTTGAATTTATTATTAATTTAACAATATGAATAATAAATGTGAATTAATTATCTAAGAGAGTGGATTAGAAATGGAAAGAAGTCTTGATCATTCAATCATAAGAAGTCCTTAAGCTGAACAATTAATAAGTTCATCAAATAAATAAACTTTATTGAAATTTGATAGTTCATTTGCTTAAGAGTCATTCTAAAAAAGAAAAGACTCTTTATCATCTTAGAATCTATCAGATAAGAATTAAATGATTACTACAATAATTAGATAAAAACAATTTTCAAAATTACTTATTTATTGCCATTCTATGAAATTTGCCAATAGACTAATTTCACTCATAAAACCATGTTCAAAGTTTTCAATTGAATAATTTAATATGATTAATGATAAGGCATCATTTTTCAATAATAATCTATAAACTAAAAAATAAACTACTAAACATTTTGTTTAACAAAATTTAAGAGCTATTGATTTTTAATTTAGATGGCGTTTATAATTAAGAAAATTTAAAAAAAGATTAGTTGAATATCTTCATTATCAATATTAATAAATACCATTAATTGAACCTGAAAGTTAAAAACTATTTATTTGGGATATATTATTGAATTTAATAAGAATTTATTTGATAATTTGGATTCCAATAATAATGGTATTTTAAAATCAACAATTAGAATTTAATAATAGAATAATGATTCTCTTTTCAAGTATTCTATTATTAATAGATGTATTTTTAAGGTGTATTACAATTGTATATGATAAAGGATATCCTGTTGATAATCGCTATCTGTTAATTAAAAGATAAATAAAGTTAAGTAATTTATTTGAAGTTTGTAGTATATTTATTGGAATTTATTTATCAATTAGATTTAGTGATCCTCAATTTAATTATTCAATTTTGGATGAAAATGGTTGGATTAAATTACTTTTAATATTATTTTTGATATAAATTAAAAATGTAGTTAAATTTATGAACAATATGTAATATTACTATAAACCTAATAAGGAAATGTCATCTGTTATAGATTTAATAAAATTAGTAGGATTAATTCTATTAATATAACATTTATGTTCATGTGTATGGTATAAATAATAATAAAAATAGGTTGATTATTGGAATGAATCAATTAACATAACATCATTAAAGTTGGATTTATAAAGTATTTCTTGAAAGCTGGGAAGTACAATATTTAGAAGCATTTTATTTTATGAGTGTAACCATGTTTACTGTTGGATATGGTGATATTAATCCATAGAATTCATTAGAGAAAGTGTTTTGTATATGTTATATGTTTTTATCTACTTTATAATTATCTTATTCAGTAAATACTATTGGAGCAATCCTTACTTTACTTAAAGAGAAGAATGAGATATTCAGATAGAAGATGACTTGCATGAATGAATTTTTAAAGGATAAGAATATCAGTTAGTAATTGCAATATAAGTAGACTTATAATATAATTTTAGGATTAGAGAATTTTGTACTTTCTATTGGGAATAAGACATAATTCAAAAAAAAAATGAATAATAATTATTAATTAAGGAATTACCTGATGAATTATAATATCATCTTAAATTAGAATAGGCTAAATAACTTGTAAATAAATGTACATTTTTTAAGTAACATTTTGCAAAATCTACAATTTAATATATAATTTAAAGAGTTTAGTTTACATCTTATTAACCTGGAACAATAATTTAAATTACTCCATCTAATAATGGAGTATTTGTTATTGAAAGAGGAAATATTGAAGTACTTTAAAATAAAGTATTTATGAAATATTTATGATAGACTAAAATCTCTGATTTAAAAGATTTTGATTAATTTGGATTTTAAGAATATATAAATAATCAATATAATCTTGATATTATTTATTAAACTACTACTTATACAAGTATTTTATGCATCCCATATTAAATTTTAAATGATGCTATTAAAAAAAGTAAGAGTGACTTTGAAAAGATTTAGATTAAGAAATAGATTACTAAATTTCATTTTTGTTATATATGTAAAAGTACAAAACATTCTATTGAATAATGCAAATTAGTACATTATGTTGCAGATAAAGAGAAATCAATTAAAACTTATTTATTAGTTGATAATCAACCAAGAATTAAAGTTAAAAGATCTAATAGATTTTAAAAATTTTAGACTTTGATTCAATAAGTATGTTTAGATGCATCTTGTAAATTAATATAATAGGAATATGAAAGAGAAATTGAACAATTTTTACCAGAACTTACTTATGAAGCATTAATAAAACCATTAAATTCTAGTTAAAAAATATTTGAATCTCCTAAAGATAATGAAGTATATCGACCATAGAAATAAAATTATTTACTTGAAACTATAAAAACTAGTTAAGTAAGAACTTATGATAAATTTTGTAATAATCTCTCATTAACATTTCGTAATCAAGATATCTCACCATTTATTAAAGAACCTGATATATTAAAAGAACTTTAATTAAAAATGATCAATATACAAAAATACCCTTAAAAATAATAAAAAGAATTATTTATTTTATATAAAACTCTTGAAAATTAGAGTTAAGCAGATATAGGAATAGGAAATTTTGAGAAAGTTATAAAATTCACAAAATTTGATAGATTTTGGAATATTAGTAATGTTATTGAATAATTAAATTGCAAATATGAACATTCAAGACTTTATTTAGATATAATCAAAAGATTAAGTAAATATTTACTCTTTCCTCTTGAATTTATTTATCTATTTAAAAAAGATTTATTAAAATAAAGAGCTGAAAGTTATCAAAATAGAAAAATTAAAGATTCTGATGATGAAAAAAGTGATAATAAATAAATCAGTAATAATTAAATTTATTTAAGGTCCATTTAGAAAATTTGAAAGAAGAAAAGCATTAATTTATCCAAAATCTCTTACTTTTAAATGATCAAAAATAGAATTATTATTTACTATAATATTTTAATTATTATTTATTTACAAATAAGTTTAACTTAATTAATTAATTCTATTCCAATAACAATGATATTTAATCATAATTATTTATTAATGTATATCAAAAGAGTAAATATATAGACAAATTTTATAATTACAATCAAATTTTAATTATGATTATGTTATGTTTAATATATAAAAATTTATTTAATTAAAAAGATTATAAAAGTATCTTGTTCCAAATTTAAAACCAAATCTAATTTCTTTAAATTTTAATAATTATAATACAAGATTCGATATAACTATAAAAATAACCAAACAATAATGTCCTATTACCCTGGATACAATATAGAATAACCTATGGCTTATCCTAACTAATATCTCAAAAGAGGATCTTATGCTTCAGTCCAATATAGTTCCCCTCTTACATAATCTGTATTACCACGTATGGCAGTTCAACCAGTTATACAAAAATCTTATATTGTTCAACCTGCAGTTGTTTAATAAGTGATGTCTTCGCCTGTTCAATAAACTATTCGAGGAGAGTCAAAAATTTAATACAAAGAATCTTAAAGATAAGTTGTTGAGATGGAGACTGAAACAGTCTAAGTTTAAGTACCAAAAACCAAATATGTGACAAATTATTATCCCATTGAATACTAAACTAGATATATACCAAGAACTGTTTATGAATAATAAACAAAATACATTCCTATAACAAAAAGTGTACCTAGAGTAGAATACGAAGCAGTAGAAAGAGAAATTTAAAGAGTATATCATTGTTTTATTCTTAGCCATAATTAGTAGAAGTCTAACAATCATTTTTTTGATAATACATACCATAGCCAACTTAATACATTCAATAACCAGTTTATTAATCTTATGTCTAATAAACTGCCATTTAATCTTTTAACCAACAGCCATTATAATATTTAAGAGTTAGACCAGAATAATCTTATATTCCATCTTATAATAACTCCAATATCAACTCCTATCCAGTAAACTATGGAGGATTTAGACCATATTGAGTTATTGTCATAATTAAAAATTATAAATAATTTAACTTAAATTTAAATGTAAGTTGTTAAATCTGAAGCAACTAGAGAAGAATAATTTTATTGAGCCTCAAAGAAAGTAAAGAATAGGTTTCTATTTAATAGTTTATGGATCTATTTAAGAAAAGTAAAGCTATTTTATTAAGGTCATTTTTAAGGTATTTTAAATCAAAAAAAGAATAAAATTATTTTAATTTAAATTTTATTTTTCATTAATTTCTTAAATTGAATTTAATATAAATATTTATCTATTTTTCAAATATAAAATACCTCCTTCATTTAGAAATATGAATAAAAATTAAATTTGAATTTATTTTTACAATATTTAATAAATGCTTGGAGTATTTATTATCAATAATGTAAGTTAAATATAAAATCATTATTTTCTTCCCATCATCTCTATTCTATTTGCTTGTTCTCTTAATCTATCTAATTCTCTTTACTCTTCCTTCTTTTAATCCATTCTCATATCTACTTACTTTAATTTTTCTCTTATTTTCTCTCTTTTATATTCTTCTAACTACTTTTAATGTTTTATAGCTTCTTGTTAATCAACTTTTTTTTTCAAATTCATATATGCTTGCTACTATAAGGTAATTTCTTATTCATTTTTTACTTTTTCAATCTATAATTATTATCAATATAATACCTTTTCATCTTATTCTTCAATCTTTCTTAAATAAATATTTCTTTTTTCTTCCAATTATAAAATATTCATTTTCTTTACTTTTTCTCTATGTTTAGTTCTCCTATCTGCTTCTTCTTACATATATTATTCTTTAGACTTTGATTAACTTCTCTATTACAATCTTAATTAAATATCCATTTCCTTTTCCATAAATTCTCTCCTTACTTCTTCTTATTCATGCTCTTTTAATTTAGCTGTATATTTAATTTTTTAATTTTTAATTCTGTTTTTCTCTTCTATAGATAATTATCTTTCTTTTTATAATTCTTAATATTTATATTACTTCTCAACAATTTTTTCTTCTTTTTTATAATAATCCTCTCTTAATTTCTTCAAACCTTCAATTTAACTTTTCTAAACTTCTCTTTATCTTTCTTTAGCAGATAATGCTCTTTTTTAAGCAACTCCTTTTTTTAATTCTTATTATTACTTAAAGAACATTTATCTTTTAAGTTCTTAGTCTTCCTCTTCTTATTTTCTTATCAAATATTCTTACTCTTTTTATTTATCTTTCATTTTTTTTTCTCTTTCTAATTATTGTTTTAATTCCCTTTGTTATTATTCTCTAATTGCTGCTTCATCCCTTCTTTATTACTCTTCAAATTCTAATTACATTTTACGTTCTTATTCTCTTTCAAAATAGACTTATTATAATTATTTATTTTTTTTTTATTCTTCTAATTCCTTTTATCTTTTCTATTTATTAATATTTTCTTATTTCTCTTAAAACTCTAGTTACTTTTCCTCTTATATCCTCTTTCTCTTTTCTTCATATAATTACATCTTCTCTTCTCTTATTTACGTTTACTCCTCTCTCTTTAATATCATCTCTTATAAATGCCTTTATCTTTGTTCCTCCATTTATTTTCTCTTCTGAACTTAATCCATAAATTTAGATGTAGTTGTACTACTAGCTGGTCTAAGCAGTTTCAAACTATATGTACTTTATTCAATCTTATTTCTTTTTTCTTTCTCAATTAATCCTTCTCTATCTTTTACTAAAGTATAGACTTTTTATTATCTTCGATATTCAAAATGTTTATGAAAATCATCTAAATTCTCATTTGTTAATGATTTCTCTTTTTTTGCCATTGCTTAAAGTTATTCTTTATTAATGCAAAATAATTCATTTTAAGCAATACCTCTTTCTCTAATAACTTGTATTGACCGAGGACTATCAATAAAACAATTTCTATCTGCAGGATTGAAATTAATTAAAGTAATCATTAAAGTTGATCATTAAATTATTTTAAAAATATTATCCATTCAATTAATAATCTTAATTAAACATTATATCTTAGAATAATAGATAAATATTAATAATTTAAGAAAGCTTGTTTTAATAACTTTCTTTTTTAATAATATTTTAATGGAATCATTTTGAATCTATCTATCTTAACATAGAAATCAAATATTTAAGTCCTCCTATTATATTATTATCCACTTATGCTTATGGATTTTCACAATCATCTGATAATTTCATAACATAATTAAAATCAATCCATTTGATTCTATACTTTTTGGCCATGTTATCTACTATAATAAGAATAGAAGTATTTCGAAATATTCTAAATTAAATATTATATATTACCTCTTACTGGTTTAAAGTACTTCAATTAATTCTTAGATAAATTTAATACATCCTTGTAGTGCCTCTTTATTAGGTTCTTCAACTAGATTTGATTAGAAAACCTATTCAATAATTTCTCTCATTTATTTATCATTTCTTATCCATTTATAAGCATCTGATCCATTCTTATTAACAGTTAATGCTCCAATCTAATCTCTAATTTTAATTCCAGCAACTCTAAAACCCATATAGTTCTAATCACATTGAGCAGCCTTTTTAAGTTCTTTTTCTCTTTTTATTGCTGGACCATTTGGATTATATGTTTTATAACCTATTTTTAAATCTATAATAGATCCATTTTCTAATCCATATGATAAATTTTCCTATAATTTAATAATGATATAATAATACCATAGTAATAGAACAAGTCTTTTCATCAAGAGAAATCAATTTAGGCATAAATTTGATAAGTCTTTGATTTTCTTCATAAAATGGATTAGTTTAATCATTTAGTGTTGAATAGAATTAGAATTCTCCTTTTTTTGTGGTCTTAATAATTAGATCATCTTTAATTTAAAATGATTATAAATGTCCTCCTGTAATTACATCAGCTGCTTATCCTATAAATCTTTTTTAATATTCAATTAAATCATTTGAAGTAAGACAAGTCCAAAATTCCTTATGTTTATCTACAGTAGTTGTTACTGCACTAATTCCACATTTACAAGGTTCAATATTGGCTGGAAACTCTTAAGGTATTCGCATTAATTATTTAAGAGTTGCTAATGCACAATTTGCAGTGACATCTAAATTATAACCTCCTTCCAAAACAGCCAAGACTCTAGGACAAATTTAGGATAACTTTTCAGTAATATATTAATATCCTTATGGAGTATTATCAATACAACCAAGAGGATCTCCTTTAGCTGAATCATAACCAGCACTTATAATAATGAAATCTGGTTAAAATTCTTTAATTATTGGACCTAATAATCTATCAAATGCATAGACATAGTCATCATAACCTGGAGCAGGTCCATCATCAGTTACATTCCATCCAACATTAACATTTTTAAATTCTGCATTTTTTCCTCCTATTTTTTCAGGATCTCCACTTCTAGGGTAAAAGTTACCTTGATCATATCTATGAATAGAAATGACTAAAGTATTTGGATCTTCATAAAATACAGATTCTGTTCCATCACAATGATGAACATCCCAATCAAATATTACAATTTTATTGACTTAATGTTTTTATCTTGCATATTTTGCAGCAATAGCAACATTATTATAAATACAAAAACCTGTTGGTTTAGATTTATGTCCACTATGATGACCAGGAGGTCTAACACTGCAAAATGCATTCCTCCATTCCTTTGTTAATATTTTATCAACTCCTTCTAATACAGCTTATACACATTTTCTAGCAGTAAAAGCTGATGTTTTGCATAGATAAGTATCACTTAAATGTACAACTTCTTTTGTATTCTTTTGATCACCTATATCTTCAAATAATCCTTCAACAAAATCTATATAATCTTAATCATAAACTAATCTTAAATGATCGATCTCACTTAAATCATAAAAAAATTTAAATACCATTAATTAAACTATGACATTTGTTCCACTTACTTCTTTACATCATGTTATGCTAAATAATTTTAAATGGTTTAATCTATGGATTAAGTTCGCTTTGGATTTTCATAATGTTATTTATTTGAAAAGTGTTTATCAAAATCATCACAATGAATAAAGCCTGTTATATTTGAATCTAACTTTAAATTTGCAAACTCTTCCTAAATTTATTACATATTTTATTATTTAAATAATTAATCTAATTTTTCATTCTATTTAAATGTCATTTTTTGATTACAATTAATTCATTGTAATTTAAATTATTAAAGACTTCAAGATAAATCTTTTCTTCATTATAATTAATCTTATTTTCAATTCTTAATAATAAACTATTAATAGAATAAATTTAATATATATTTCTTAGATTATATACTTAATATAATAAAAATACATCTAAAAATTATAGATATATACCATAATATATATTTAAAATAATTAGATCATTCCCAGTCTTCTAATAATTCTGATTATGTTTTTCTTCTTCTATTTTTTTCAACATTAGGTGCCTTGGTAAAAATAGGATTAGCTGGATCTTTATCATTTGGATGATTGAAAATATCTCTTATAGTCATCAAAACTTATGTTAATCCTTCATTGCCTTTCCAATTATTTGTCACCATAGGCATACAAAGTAATCCATCTAAAAATATTTATTATTAAAACCTCCATAGATATTTTCATGTATTATTTTAGAATTATCTTTGAAAAACCAAAAATAGAATTTAGGAGCAGCTGTAGGATAATCATTAGGTAGAATCAAATAACCTTAGAAAAATTGAAAATGTATAATACCTTAAATTTTTTTATCTTAATATTCTGTATTTTCTTCTCCTCTAAAATTAACTTCCCAAACTTAATTTCTTAAATCATCATTAATTATAGCTTTTTCAATTTTTACAAATTCATCATTTCCTTCATCTGTCAGAATTTGTGTAGCCTAATCAAATAATTAAGAGAAGTATTTAGCTTTTTCAACTGATTCTTTTGGCAATCTGCTAATAATTTCTTATATCACTCTATCAGGGATCAAACCTTTATCCACATCTTTTAATTAAAATGCTATCATTTATGAAATAATTA